CTAGTTTTGCCTGCAACCTTTATTTTTCCATTTTTCGTGGGCAACTTCACGTTTTATATGTGAAATCATTTTTGCTTCTCCTCATTTACGTCTGGTAAATCTTGAAAATGGGTGCCTGTTTTTGAGCGCTTTAAACGTGTCGATTGTTACTTCAATTTGTATATTTTTTAAAGCAAATGAAGTTTTTAATCATACTTAGCTCAACTTTAATACGCTATTTTGCTGATAAAGAATAGCTGGTGCCAACGTCATAGGTCACATGTGGGTATGGAAGGTCTTCTTCTTGAAATGCTGGTACCCAATTATTGAAAAATTTGCAAAATGAAAAATCCCGAGTTAAAAGATAGGTTGGTGAACGAAATTTCGGACACGTCAACTTTCATCTTGACATTTTAACGATGTTCAAAAAAACTCATTTTTCTTACTCAGAAAATTTGTTCTTTTTCGAGAATGGACGGGAAATTTCAAAAAGAATCAAGAGATCTAAAACGTTTAGTTTTTAATTTTCTAAAAAATTCTAGAATGTATGGCATGAAAAAGACGAATTGGGAGACCAGCAATCTGCACTCATTAACATAAAAGAATGATTGTAAAAAGAGCTTGCCAGAAAAAAGGAACTAAAAATGAAGTTAGAAAAACTTTGAATTTACCTTGTTCATCAAGGACTGTTCAAAATATCTTAAACGTCTATATGGTGTTGGCTTAGTGATCGATTAAGGCGCTTTTGCACAAATGGAGCCAATTCAATAGTGCACCAATTCAACGTCCACTCAATACGACTCAACATAGGCGAAAAGTTGATTTTGCAGGGGGAAAAAAACAATTCTCTCGGTCAAAAATGGACTCATGCAACTTTTTTTTTTTGACAAAACGAAGTCCAACCTTGATGGACCTGATGGTTTTCGTTATTTTTAGTGAAAGACCAAAGAAGCGTCCATACGGTGTTGTCTTAGTGATCGATTAAAGCGCTTTTGCGCAAATAGGGCCAATTCAATAGTACACCAATTCAACTTCCCCTTCAGTACGACTCAACATAGGAGAAGAGTTGATTTTGCCAAAAAAAAAAGAAAAAAAAACATTTATCTCGGTCAAAAATGGACTCATGTAATTTTTTTTTGACAAAACGAAGTCCAACCTTGATGGACCTGATGGTTTTCGTTATTTTTAGTGAAAGACCAAAGAAGCGTCCATACGGTGTTGTCTTAGTGATCGATTAAAGCGCTTTTGCGCAAATAGGGCCAATTCAATAGTACACCAATTCAACTTCCCCTTCAGTACGACTCAACATAGGAGAAGAGTTGATTTTGCCAAAAAAAAAAGAAAAAAAAACATTTATCTCGGTCAAAAATGGACTCATGTAATTTTTTTTTGACAAAACGAAGTCCAACCTTGATGGACCTGATGGTTTTCGTTATTTTTAGTGAAAGACCAAAGAAGCGTCCATACGGTGTTGTCTTAGTGATCGATTAAAGCGCTTTTGCGCAAATAGGGCCAATTCAATAGTACACCAATTCAACTTCCCCTTCAGTACGACTCAACATAGGAGAAGAGTTGATTTTGCCAAAAAAAAAAGAAAAAAAAACATTTATCTCGGTCAAAAATGGACTCATGTAATTTTTTTTTGACAAAACGAAGTCCAACCTTGATGGACCTGATGGTTTTCGTTATTTTTAGTGAAAGACCAAAGAAGCGTCCATACGGTGTTGTCTTAGTGATCGATTAAAGCGCTTTTGCGCAAATAGGGCCAATTCAATAGTACACCAATTCAACTTCCCCTTCAGTACGACTCAACATAGGAGAAGAGTTGATTTTGCCAAAAAAAAAAGAAAAAAAAACATTTATCTCGGTCAAAAATGGACTCATGTAATTTTTTTTTGACAAAACGAAGTCCAACCTTGATGGACCTGATGGTTTTCGTTATTTTTAGTGAAAGACCAAAGAAGCGTCCATACGGTGTTGTCTTAGTGATCGATTAAAGCGCTTTTGCGCAAATAGGGCCAATTCAATAGTACACCAATTCAACTTCCCCTTCAGTACGACTCAACATAGGAGAAGAGTTGATTTTGCCAAAAAAAAAAGAAAAAAAAACATTTATCTCGGTCAAAAATGGACTCATGTAATTTTTTTTTGACAAAACGAAGTCCAACCTTGATGGACCTGATGGTTTTCGTTATTTTTAGTGAAAGACCAAAGAAGCGTCCATACGGTGTTGTCTTAGTGATCGATTAAAGCGCTTTTGCGCAAATAGGGCCAATTCAATAGTACACCAATTCAACTTCCCCTTCAGTACGACTCAACATAGGAGAAGAGTTGATTTTGCCAAAAAAAAAAGAAAAAAAAACATTTATCTCGGTCAAAAATGGACTCATGTAATTTTTTTTTGACAAAACGAAGTCCAACCTTGATGGACCTGATGGTTTTCGTTATTTTTAGTGAAAGACCAAAGAAGCGTCCATACGGTGTTGTCTTAGTGATCGATTAAAGCGCTTTTGCGCAAATAGGGCCAATTCAATAGTACACCAATTCAACTTCCCCTTCAGTACGACTCAACATAGGAGAAGAGTTGATTTTGCCAAAAAAAAAAGAAAAAAAAACATTTATCTCGGTCAAAAATGGACTCATGTAATTTTTTTTTGACAAAACGAAGTCCAACCTTGATGGACCTGATGGTTTTCGTTATTTTTAGTGAAAGACCAAAGAAGCGTCCATACGGTGTTGTCTTAGTGATCGATTAAAGCGCTTTTGCGCAAATAGGGCCAATTCAATAGTACACCAATTCAACTTCCCCTTCAGTACGACTCAACATAGGAGAAGAGTTGATTTTGCCAAAAAAAAAAGAAAAAAAAACATTTATCTCGGTCAAAAATGGACTCATGTAATTTTTTTTTGACAAAACGAAGTCCAACCTTGATGGACCTGATGGTTTTCGTTATTTTTAGTGAAAGACCAAAGAAGCGTCCATACGGTGTTGTCTTAGTGATCGATTAAAGCGCTTTTGCGCAAATAGGGCCAATTCAATAGTACACCAATTCAACTTCCCCTTCAGTACGACTCAACATAGGAGAAGAGTTGATTTTGCTAAAAAAAAAAGAAAAAAAAACATTTATCTCGGTCAAAAATGGACTCATGTAATTTTTTTTTGACAAAACGAAGTCCAACCTTGATGGACCTGATGGTTTTCGTTATTTTGGGTGGATGGGTGGAAGACCAAAGAAGTGTTTTACAAACGTCAATATGGTGTTCGACTTAGTGATCGCATCAAGCGCTTTTGCGCAAATGGAGCCAATTTAGTAGTAAAATACAATCGGACAAACATGTCAGGTGTGAGTTAGTTACCTGATAACTTCAAGGGACCGTGTTTTTCAACAACATAAAGCTTGGATACAGGTTTGTAAGAGAGCAAAACTCTGGTTTGAAGCTAATTCTGCAAATTTTACTCGATTGGACGACGAAAAGTCCCGATCTTAATCCAGTCCAAAACTTTAAGGATTTCAAGCCCGAGAAGTTTATAAAAATGGCGTACACTATCAATATTGTCTTCACATGACGCTAGAGAGAAAAAAAAATTCGTGGACACTTTAAATGATATTTCAGGATCAATGACCTTATTGGCTTAGTCAAGTGATTGAAAAAAAGGTAGTTTCCTTGATTATTGAAGAAAATTTTAAGCATTTTAGAACAAAGTATTTCCTTATACTTTTTTTTCTATGTTTCCTTCAGTGTTAATTTTTGTAAAATCCTTATTTTTAAGCAAAATTTTGTTTTTTGTGCGTTGTAAGTGTTATTACAAAATTTTTTAACAGAAGTCAAACATATGAAGATTTCATTTAGATGAAATGGAAATTAAGCACATTTTCATTCAATTTAATGTTGTTCTTACGCTTTTTTCACGCACTGTAGATGAAAATGGTTGCGTGTTGGATATAAAACATGAAGCCTCAAGAATATAAAACAAGCCATCGTCGACGAATTTGCTTCAACTAATAACGACAGGTGGGAGTTCCAACAACTAACAGGAGTGTTTAAAGGATTGGTTTTAATAGGCTTAAAGCAAAGCTTATTTTGCCCACAACTAAAATTGAAATGTTATAAATATTGCCAGTGTTTTTTTCCTTTACAGCAATGTTAATATTGAGGCGCACTGTATACCACAAGTAGACAATAACAAGTTATGTCACACTACAATTACACTCTTGGAAACTGTTAAGGATTAATTCACTATAACTACTGAGTAGTAGTATGTTATTTACATCTCATTAGAGCTGCACAATGGGCTATTTTATAACCGACATTGAACAGCTGAACCAATTCTGAGTTAACGGCTATCACTGTGCAACTCCAGTCTTGTAAACTTAAGCCCCACACAGAGGACAAGAGAACTCCTGAATCAAGCATTGAGACAAACTAACCTTCATGATATCCTCAGTAGATCTTTTAATGAAACTAACCTGCACTTGCTTTACATGGAGAGGAAAACAACGAAAACCTTCCAAGGTCAGCATGATGGCAAGGGGATTTTAGCCCATTACCTGTCTACTACTGACGATATTTTACATCAGCACTGTGTTCGGTGCGAGCTGGGAGCAGAATTCGTATCAAGCCACCGAGGGGATTCGAACCTGGGTCACCTCATTGGGCGGCGAACACTCTATTCCCTTAGCCACAAATGGCCATTAGCAAGAGTCTGGGAAACATTCTAGAAAATGATTTGAAGACATATCATCACACTTTTCACACGCAAAGGGGATGGCTCCCCTCCTCTTGTAGCCTGACAACCTGCGCACTAAGTCAAACACTTTACGAAGGAATAATTTAATAAGAACTGATACATCGCATCCTCGATCCCTTCATAGACTGATCAAGATGGTCACCCACCCGCTTACTGACAGTTGCCAGTGATGCTTAACTTCAGGTATCTACAGTGAACAGTGTCCAACAATCAGTTCACTGCAGGACATATTAAGAATAAGAAGAAAAGTGATTAAATTTCAAAGAGACAATTCGATGTAATGCTTTTTAATTTCTACATTGATTATAATAACATTCACATTTTTATGTACAAGTATGTATAACAGCTTTCAACATTCATCATGTCAAATTGCCAATCATTTTTCAAAACAAAGGAAAATTTAAACACATATATTAAGAAGAAAAAAACAGTTGCTTAATTAAATATAAATATAACAAATGAAACATAAATATGAATAAAAAAATATATTAAATATCTCTCATTTTATAGTTACACCGATATATTACAATATACTATTATTAATTATTTTACACATAAATTAAGAAATATAACATAAAATAAACCTTTTCAGAATTTGAGACTATAAAGAAGTGGAATAAATGTGAAAATTATATTTAATTATGCCCAAACTAAAGACAATACAGCACTATGCTAACAAAATTATAATACAGTGAAAATAAATAAATATAATATAAAAATTTTTATTAATATATCAGCAACACTTTAATGAGTTTATTACAAATAAGGAATGTTCGAAGAGTAACATTATATACATGAAAAGCTATAACTTCAATATAATTTTTGATCAAAATTATATAAATCCTATATTTGATTTTGGAATTATTTTTATTGTGATATATATATACAAAAAAAGCAATAAAAAAAAGAACACTACTTAACTTTTTACAGTAAAGATAGAGATCCAAATAAATGCATCACAATATAAGTTAAGTACAGTCAGTACTTCAAAAAACACAGAATCCTTACAAAGAAAAAAAGCATCAAACTTAAAAACGCTTTTTCATAATTCTATTCAAGATAAATTAAGAAATATTACAAAAAAGAAAAAGCTACAATAAATAAAAAGGGGGATTTTAATAGAACACCTCTACAGCTGAGTTAAACTGATTTAATATATTGGAATGAAGTTTTTCATTTATTGATGCAAATAGGGCTGTCATTGTCATTGATGCAAATAGGACTTAAAGGAGTGAATGCTTCTCTACAAATGGAAAAAAATTTAATGAATGTTTCTCCCTAAATGGGGAAAACTTAAAGAATGTTCCCTTCCAAAAGGACTAAATTTAGGGACTCGTTCTTCCCTTTACTCTGTTTCCCCGTCTAATAACATGGGAAAACTGGATTTGCTATGCAAAATTGGGAGAATGTTTCTCCCCAAAGGGGAAAAATTTAAACATTGTTTTTTCCTTTCACTAATTCTCAATTTAATGACAAGGAAAAACTGGTTTTGCTAAGCGAAATTGAGTAAATGCTTCTTTCCAAATGGGATCAATTAAAGGATCCTTTCTCTTTTTCACTATTTCTATATTTTATAACATGGAAAATTGGGTTAATGTTTTGCCCCTTCACTCTGTTTTCCTGCTTAATAAATAAGGGAGAACTAGTTTATTGATGCGAGAAAAAAATGGAGCATGTATTGTGATTTTCTATGTGTATGACTGGCAGGGACACAATATTGCTCCAAAACAGTATTCACACAATATTGCTCCAAAATAGCATTTACATCAATTAACAAAATTTGTCACAGTAAACAAATGATTATCCATAAAATTGTGCAACATGGTAACTGAACATTTTTGAATTCCACAAATTATCCACAAAATGGTTGGAAAATATAAGTTTGTGTTGAAAACATCATTTTAATATTTCATCATCAAAAATATTGCAGAATAATAGACAAAATAAAAGAGGGAAAGAATTTCACATTAATAAAATTCTGTAAAGGGTAAAATAAAATTGACGTAATCTTCACCAGACAAAATATTAATGACATTTCAGAATATTTACTGTAGAATTTTGCACATGCAATACTTAATGTACTTAAACCAGCTTTTGAATAAGCCCTTAACTCCATATATACTGACGGAACTTTTAAATTCTACTATTATTATTTCCATGCAGAATTTATCAAAATATCCCATCGGAGCTTGTAATATGACTTTCGTTGGCAACACGTGATTATTTGAAATTGAACATCACCTACAGAAGTGACAGTTGACTCAAGTAAAATTCTCTGAAGACCTTGAGAAATTTTTGGAAACTATAAAGGAGTTTGATCTATACACAACTCCATCCTCTAAAAAAACTCTTAACAATACTCTTATATTAGAAAATTTTTTTTTTATCTTTTTCAAATAATATAGTTCATAAGTTTTTAACTAAACTTTTAATATAGAATAGAACATAAAATTTTACAAATCACTTTTAAAAAAGTAGAGTTTATGTACTTTGTTAATCCCAATGACTTAGGCAGAAACTTGCGAAATATCAACATAAGATATGAAACTTTAAAATAAATTGTGGAAATTTTTTAGAACAAATAATTTTTCTTTCATTTTTTAAATCTTTGTAATATTTTTGTGAGTGTAAAGTTTTTGAAACAAACAGCACATAATTTTCAGAAATTTAAAGCTACCAACATTATGAAATCCTTTACACCTATGGAATTATTTAGTTGCAGATATTTCGTTCGAGTACGTCTTTTCATAATTACCCAATTCTCAGCTTACTAGCTCGATAAATTTTGCGGGTAAGTCATGCTTCTTTTATTACATTATTAACATTTTAAAATAGTTATAATACAAAGTAATAAATCTTATAAACTTTAATTAATACTTCATAACGTAGCGTAAGCCCCAAAGTAAAAATTTCTTGAAAAATTTGAAAAGGATATTGAACATAAAAGAAATATTAAAATAGACATTATTAAATGAGACATTCCCATATTTTTGATAATTTTTCAAAAATTTGGTAAATAAAGAGTTAAGTAGATAATTCACAATTGGATAATCAAAAGTATACTGTAGTTAAAACTCACAATATTACATTTTTAAAGTAACAGATTATCAAAATCAGTTCTATCCTGACTGCATCAAGCAAAAATACATAAAATATTTATGCTTTTGGCACATGGAAATTTTTTAAGTAAATTTTTAATTACTGAAACAACTTAATACGTTTTTTTTCAAGCATTAAAAAACTATTTGATTATTTAAAAGAAAACACACAAATATTTGCATAGTTCATAAAAACAAGAATGTAACCAAAAAAAAAATTACAAGACCTCCTTAAAAACAGAATGTCAATCAAAATTATTTCAACAAAAAATAATCTACAAAACAAAACATTTCTAGCTTTTTTAGATTTGGTAAATAGCATATGATTAGAGTTCAAATTGTCTCATAACAATAAGTAATCACTTTAAAATTTGAAACATCTTAATCCAAAAAAATATGAAACAACATTTAACTTCCAAAAGTGGAACTTTTCATACCACAATATACAGATTTGAAAAATATTTCTCTATCACACACACCGAGCAGCCTCAAACAAACTGCTAAGATTCAAGAATTTCCTTAAACAGTGATGAATAAAATTACACTCAAACAAAATGAAATCACATACATTTTAATGATAGAACTCTCAAACGTTTATGCACCAAGAGTAAGGCCACACAAGGTGTTCTAAAGTGAAATAAAATTTTAGTATTCATTTACATTTATTCTATAACTTTTAAATTTTATTTATTATTGTACGATACGCATGCTGCGATCTCTTTTTAACATGAAGGTAACAGTATAAGAAAAATTCTGTCAATAGTGAACATTGAATAACTACATCTGAATGGAACTCAACAGATATCATTTTTTTGCTGCAGACAGAAAAAGTCAAAACGGCAAGATACAAGACTGATGAACGTGACTAGGCAAGATTATTTTGTTTTTCGAATTCGCTCCAAGCATCATTTAGTTCCATAAATATTAATTTAGCTAAGTTTTCATTTTCTGTACCTACTTGCTGAAAAATAAAAAACAAAAAAATTTTTGAATAAAACACAGTAGATTACAAATAAAATTAAAAACAGAATGACATAGAGGAATATGAATCATGACATGATGCTTTTTACAAAATTCAATCACACACTATTTGCATTGGGAACAAAAATTACACAAGTTTTTCGGATAATGAATTGCATGATAGTTTTTGAAATGAAAGTAACATATTGTTTTTTGGAGCATAAGTTATATACTGCTTTGAATTTTGGAACATAAGTAGCATATTGCTTTTTTATTTTTTTACTTTTTTTTACATTTTTATTCAATAGTCATTCTCCTGTTTTAGTATGTATACTGTTGCTGTATTAAAATAATATTCTGACATCGTTATTCATTTATTTTATGATTTCAGAAAAACTCAATATTTCTTTTAAAAAAAAAATCTCATTTATTTTAGCATAAAGTCTTGAAACTACAAGCCAGAGTTTTCGAGAGAAAGTTTTGAAACAACTTGAAAATTACAATAAAAAACACTATAGATAACTTAACAGCATTTAAATTTATAGTTTAATAATCACCAAAAATATACTATTAACTTAGTAAAACTTTATTCATTAAAAAGCTCAAATAAAACAAGTATTCATTTGGAAATTCTTATTTTAACTTACTATCATGAGTCTATTTTTTTCTTCCATATTTATGCTTCAAACAAAATTTTAGTTAAATAAAATAAGATAGATCATTCATAGATTCAAATTGTATAAGATACCAAATCTATAACCATTTCTCTTTTCAATATTTATAATTCTAAACAAACCAGATAATCAAATATCAATCTAAACAAATAGAAATTTATTATGCTGGAAAACTTAACAGCATCATTGCTATTTAGTTAAAGACAGAAAGTAACTGACAAATGGAAGTTCAAAATTTTAACTAGAAAAGTAACAGAACATATTATAACTTTTTTATCTGTAATAAAATGCATAAAACAAAACTGTACTAACCTTGTCTGGATGAACAGCAAGGCATGCTTTTCTATACATCTTTTTGACATCAGCAGGAGTTACAAGTTGATGCATGCCACACTCACTCCAACGAGTGCCGTCCCATAACACAGTATGCAAAGAGCATAATAAAGCCCTAATGTTTCGTTCTTTATGAGTTGTCCAGTCCATTATCTGAAAAAACAATGACAATAATTTCACAAAACTGACATAGATAAATGCATTTGAAATTTTTCAAAACTAAGCCTTAACTGCCATGGAAAATTATCATTTGACTGGTTGTTGATATGTAAGGAGGGGATATTTGTTTAGGAATAAGGGAATATTTTGTTTAGGAATCAGTACATTTTATATTTGTTTAAAACATGGGCGTTGTTGATGTATTGACAGTGGTACATATTCTCCCAATAATCAGAAGTCCCCTCAATATTTTCAGACAAATAAAAACAAATTTCACAAATTATCATCGATTCAAATTTTTTAAAATTAAAACAGGGTGCGTGGCCAAATTATTCAACAAAAAATAAGCACCTTTTAAGCACTTTTCAAGCACTCAAAAAATATTTTTAAGCACTTTAAAAAAATATCATAATTAGGCAGGGCTGGAAAGTTTTTGACAATTCACAGTTTTATCTTGTTTTAACCGTCATGTCAAAAAAAAAGCTTTTGGCACTGTTTTTGACAATTGTCAAAAATCATGAAATTTTGAATCATGTAAAATGAATGGCGTTTTTATACGCTACGGACTGACAATGCGCCAAAATAGATTGGAGTTGAATTAATTGTGAAAACGTTGAATAGAACAATGTGAATTGTGTCTTTTTGCATAATTCGAAGGGAAAATCAACATAGTAAAGGAAAAATCTCATTTTGAAAAAGGTAAATTAAGCACTTTTTAAAAACACACAATGAAAAAAGCACCTTTAAGGGTTTTTAAAAAACGAAAATCGAAAATAAGCACCTTTAAGCACTTTCTAAAAACGCTACGCACCCTGTAAAAACAAGAAAGAGATAAAAATAATTCATCTTTTAGCAGGGATTTAAAACATTTATGAGTTCTTTTTTTTTTTCTTATGCGTGAAATTTAGAAAACTATTGTGACTGTGTAATTTAATTTTGTGCCCCTCAAAAATTAGGCCCTGCAGCACCATTGGTTTAAAATAACAAACTCAAATGTTTAAAGTAAAAGGAATTACTGTTTTTCTTAAATTTTTTATTCATTTAAAAAATAAAAAAAGAATTATTAATTTATCCAAACCGAACCAATAAGTGAATAATTTATGCAAACCAAGCCAATAAGTGAATAATTGATCCAAATAGAGCTAATAAGTGAATAATTTATCAAAACAGGACCAACAAGTGAATGGTTGATCCAAACAGAACCAATAAGTGAATAATTAATCGAAACAGAGTCAATAAGCGAATAATTGATCTAAACATTTACTTTTAAACGTTCTGGATCAAGTTCTCTAGCTAACTCTTCTCGTCTCATTTCAGCAATTGTGGATGGGCCATCTCTCTTCTTACTAGTGAAACCTGTGAAGCCTTGGCCTCCAATCAAATCACTGAAGTCATCATCTGCCAATTTTGGTTTCGGTGCTAAAATAGGAAGAAAACATTCTCAGCAACATTAAAAAATATTTTAGCATTTTGGTAAAAAATTTCTAACCTGGTATAGCAAGTGGACCAGGTGTAACAGGTATAACCTGGCATAACAGGTGGTCAATACAATTGAACTTAGTGCTTAAAAATTATTTGAAGCTTAGTTTTTCAAATAACGAGTTTACACACATTATTTAAATAATGCATTAGAAAGAAAACTGTGAATTAGAAAACATCAACAACCGCCATACTAAGTGCTAATTTAAATTCATTAGCAATACCTAAATAATAGAATCAATTGTCTTTATTATTATTATTTATGTATAGCACAACACATTTCATATTCATATTCAACAAAACTAAGGTAAGTTCATATGTTTTCCCTGAACTACTTACTTCATAACATCAAATAAATTTTAAATAAAATAATACTTTGTATAATTTAAAAATGCAAATTTTAAAATTATATGTGTCATTCTGTCAACTTGGAAAAAAGCAATGCATAGCAATGTTAATAATAGAAGATTGAAATACAATAGACCTCACTGCTCTTGATTTTTGATAGCATTAAACTGCAATACATTTTTCAATATTCATTTCTTACCCAAAAAGCAATTTGGAACTTCTTCCATATCCTAATTTATTTAAGTGCGCGATTTAAAAAATATTTAATTCCATCTTAAAAATAAACAAAAAAATTCAAATAAAGCTAGGCAGCCACATCGTAGCCAGTTCTTAGGTGCCAAGCGGATCACAAAAGTTAAGGTTCAAGAATTTTTGATTAGCAACATGATGATGACAATATGGTCAGCATTGTGCATCAGCCACTTTTACTTCCTAAGCAAGTTGGATGGGCTTTAAGCTGCTCCCAAGGATAAAGAACCCGGCCGTCACACTGCCAGCTTCAACTGTTGTGCTATTGCAGCTCTTTTTTCTTTTCTTTTTTTAATTATCACAACAAAGTTTGGTGTACTTTAACAGTCCAACATAAATTATAGACTCCCAATCAAATTACAATGTTTCCTTAATTTTATTAATGAGATTAATTCAGTTCCTGATTTATTGTTATATAATTTTGGAAAAATAATAACAATTGATTGTTTATTGTAAGAAAAGATATAGTAATTTTTAAAAATCTTTTCTGTTTAAAGTTTTAAAATTCCAAATATGTGGGAACGAAGATGCCAAAATTCTGTACATGTATCAATGCATACAGAAATAATTATTAATACTCTCAGCAGATATGTACAACCGTTTTTCATTGGCAGACCACAAAAACTAAAAAATGCTATGTTGGAATTACAATACNCAAAAAAAAATAATAAATAAATTAATAAATAAATTTAAAAAAAAATTTCTAATACAACAGCATTTTTTCTAATAGAGAAATAGAAGAGAGAATAGTCTGAGAGAAAATAAATTTCTCTCAATTTTATATGTTTTATTAAGAGTTGATCTAATTTTTTTAATATTTAAAGGGCAAGTTTTGGCCTTGGATTATAGGTTGTGTATCTCTGCTCTCAGCAATATAGGCATAAATTATACTGCTTCTTGGATCATTCAAACATTTCAGCACAATTCATTATTAAACTAAACATATCAGTTATAATTTTACTTTCCAAGCTGTGAAAAACATGAAAATTGCAAATATAATAAGAACTGCATTTGTTTTAAATGACTAAAAGTAGAGTTACAAATATTTTTGCTGAAAATTGGATTATGTTGCTTCAAAGACCTGGTAGATAAGTGTACTTTTTGTTCAGCAGGTGAATGAATTTTAACCCCATTAACAATGACATATATTTCAGAAAAATGGACAAAAAATGGAAAAATTTTTTGACTGTTTAATTTTATTCCTTATATCATATAAAAATTAGAAAATAGTTTTTTATTACAAAAATAAAGCTTTGTTGTTGTTGCTAATTCCCATCTGGTCTGACAGGGTCAGACGAGATCAATAAATCCGTTGACATTTAGAAAATTCGAAACCAAAATGGGAGAGGAATGAATGTCGTTCCAGTCAAGCCCTAAACAGTTCAAGATGTGCTCAGGTGATGCCTGGTTTTGTTAGCATTTAGGGCAAAGAGGAAAGATCTTTTGATTAGCAGAAAATGTGAGACTTTTCAGGTGTCCACTGGCCAGTCGGGATAAGCAAGTGTTGGTCTGCCTGTCACCAGGAAGAGATAGAGAGAGTCCTGGTCTTTTTGCTTTATACCAGTAGTGAGTAAGTGGAAGCAGCCACTTTTGTTTGTTCTGGGCCTTTTGCCTTGAAAAAGTTCAAGGTATGTAAGCTCTGAGGTGGAGGGAACTGGATGGTCTAGTCCCTTCTTTGCGAGAGTGTGAGCCAACTCGTTTCCGTGGATATCGACGTTGGACGGGATCCATTGCTTGCTACTGGTAGGGTCTCCCAAGCCGGACAGGCCGAAGGGTAGGTGCCAGACTAAAAAGAACACCACCAGGAGCCAAGACTGTCTTCTACCTCACGGTGCTCCGGTCTTTGGACAACAGAAGCTGCATACCCCTTCCCATGAATCAGTTGACAAAATAAAGCTTTAAATGCAATAACTACTGTATTTATAATTTTTACACACACATAAAAAAGTAATGGATTACACACACATCTCATTCAATTAGAGCAAATTAAACAAAATTTTGAAGCTAAATATAATATTGAAGCTAAATATTGTGATGCCCAATGTCAGTTTGGGCATCACAAGTACAGCACGTAGTAGTTGCCCGAAGTGAATTCGGGCTACACTGGCAAGGGATTAAATATGTTTTAAAACACTATAAAATCATTTTTTTAAATACTGTAATAAATAAAACAAAAGTACCAACCTCCTCCTCCTCCCTTTTTTCCACCATCTCTTTCCCCAAACACACTTGAAAAGTGTCCCCTGTTGTAATCAGGTTTAGAGGATGGTGGGTTAGAGGCAGCCCCTTGAAATGCTGAATTAGCAGTGCCAGCATAGGACTGTGGCCTAGGAAAGTGCTGTGGACTGGTATTTAAAAACTGATTTCCTGCATTTGCAGACGAGGTTTTTTCTGATGATTGCTGTTCCTGATTAAATTTGTCAAATGTACCTGAATAAAAAATTACATTTAGTTTCATAAATGCAGAAAACATTTTTAACTTATAAATTTTAAAAGAACAATAGTAACACAAAAATTTTAAATAAAAAAATGTTTTATTTAAAACTTTGCAATAACCAAGTTATGATTTCAAAAAATTCATCATTCTTATTGGCGCGACAGCCCCGGACGGGTCCTGGCATCATTGAAGATTCTCTTCCATCCTCACCTGTTCTCAGCAATGCTTCTTCAGTTTTTACAGTTCAGCACAAAGAAGTCCTTATTTACAGAATTGGACCATCTGAATTTGGTCGATGTACATTCCCTATGTACATTACCCGTCCCATTCGTACATTCCAGCCAGATAGCCAGCCCATTTTATCCTTTTTATTTTCATATATTTAATAATGTTATGTTCTTTATAAAGGGAGTAAAGTTCATGGTTGAATCTCCTTTTCCATTGTCCAAAAACTTTGGACATCACTGAAAATACTTCAAAGAATTTTTCTCTAGAATGCACTTTTGCTTTTGTCTTTTTCACAATTTGAGGCATATCTAAACACATATCTTATAAGTACTTTTATATAGCAGTATCTTGGTACTAAATCTATGCACACTCAACCCTAGGAGTTTATGCAACTCAAAAAAGCAGCGGTTGGCTGCAATAATTCTTTTTTGAACCACTGGCCCTATCTTATTTTTGGTGTTAACCACTGATCCCAGGTATATAAAACTGTCAATTTTATCAAATTTATAAAATCTAATTTCCAGGTAGCAAAGTGCAAAACTTTCCTTAGAACATGCCATAAATTTTTGAAAAAATTTCTAATTAAATATATCATAACTTTTTTTAAATTAAGTAACATTTTCATTCTTCTTCAGAAATTTTTTTTTTCAAGAAAAAAAAAGACAAGCTAGAAAGCAAATAAAAATTATCATTATTGCAAAATGTATTGACTTCTTCAGACTGCATGGTTCATACCACAGTTCATACAATGAGCAGGATGAAATTTGTTGGACAAAAATTCTACAAACTTTTATTCGATTCATTTGTATTTATTCTACAAAATGACTCCTGGAGACATCTGAAGATAATTATTTTTAAAATAATCAAAGGTTACAAAGCTAAAAAAAAAGTACTTTGATTTGGGAAATTATTTTCAAATTAGTTTTTTTTATTATGATGTATTAAAATAGGTAAAAGATATTTTATTGAGGATACAAATAATTTGGAATAGTTACCCAAATCAGCAAAGGGATCTGATTTTGCAAGAGCCTCCAAATTAGGGGTTGAAGCATTTCTCGGTATTCCACCAGCAGCAAGTCGCGGTCCTAAGAATGTTTGAGGTCCGGCAGAGTTGGCTGCAGAAGATTGAGGAGCATTAGTTGAAGCTCCAGGCTGATAAACTGAATCCCAACTACCCAACAAAGACGAATCTTGATTTGCAGCAGCTGCACTCATATTGAATGCAGATGCACTGGAAGACATAGCTGGCTTATGCTGCAAAAATTAATGAAAGCGAAAGTCCATCAATAAAAAAGTAATAACAATAAAAGTATCTACAATGTTTCCAGCAAATAACTACAGATTTACAAATTAAAAATCTGAAAAACAAAAAACTATAGAGGAAGAAAACAAACGGTATGTCCTTTGTGAAAGTCGTAAAAAATTTATACAGGAATTTTGGAGTTTAGTTAAGAAAGTTGCGAACAAATAGCGCTGCAAGACATCGATGACCAAAGTGATCAAAGAAATCATGAAGGGAAGCTGTTTTATTAAGAGATTCAAACCATGTATTCAATTTCAACTGTGTGTTTCTGGTGCTGAAATGTCACAGGTTATCATCCTGTGGCATTTATATTCTTTTAAAGAACTCTGTACAGTTTTGGCAACTTTTCTAACTAAATTCCAAAATGTATGAATAAAGTTTTTATATCTCTCACTAGAGTTAGTACTACCTAATTTTGTTAGATAGTTACGACATATGGATTTTTTTATTATTCATGATTGTTATGCAAAAAATAAAATATTCTTACAGGTCATTTTCTCTTTGCTTAAATCTTATTTTCTGGATTTAATAACACAATTATTTAATTATAAAATTCAATAAGTACAAAAAAAGTGAATTTCTATAGAAATTGGTCACAATTTAAAATGGAAATAGTAATGATGAAATAAAATGAAATGTTTCAAGTGGGTGAAAAAAGGAAAAAATAATTTGATTTTTGACAAAACAGAAAGGAAAAAAGTAAGGTGCATCACTTTCAAAAGCAGAACAGATTTTTGGTAGTGATAAAAATTTATTACAAAAACTATGCTTTTTGTATTTTTTGTAAGACAAAAATCAAATTATTTTCTTTTTCTTCTTCATTATTTTGAAAAATGTAGTTTTCAAAGTATTTATTTTATTTTATTATTTTCTACTTTTCAGTTTTGTGTTTTTTAGATAAGAATAAATAAATAATTCTTAATACCTTGAGCTATATAGAAAATGAATGATCAAACACAGAGCTCCTATTGAAATTTAAGCACTCTAGATAGTCGGAAAGTGGTCATAATTGATATTGATGATAAATGCAAAAATAGTAACATTCAATTTATTAAGCAGCCATGGTGCAAAAAGTTTTCTGCCATCAATCAGGTAAAGTAAAAGATCTATACGAAATCAACAATGGAAAAATTATTGGTATGCATCAATGCCATATGTACTTCAAGAGAATTGCAGAAATTATTAGTCCTAGTTCTCAAATTGAGGTGATACAATGATTACAAATCACAGCATTTAAAAAAAAAAAAAACATTTAATAACTATCTTCATAAACAAATTTCTTAGTCTTTTATTAACTATTTTAGGTATAAAACTAAAAAAAGAACTTTTTAAGTATCGTATAATAATAATAATAAAAGTTTATTAAAAATTTAAACATAATTCATATTTGTAACATCAGTCACAAGAGCTTTTTTTAGAATTTCTACTTTCTGCAAAATCAATATATGTGTACTTCATTTCCTACTAATTTTAAGCTTCTTTTCCAAAAATTTTATAAAACAAAAATCACATTATCCCTTAAAGAAGGGGAATTTTAAAATAAAAATATGATATTTTACTCCATGTTCTTCCTATGTAAAAGTCACATTTTATATTTTTATTTTAAATAAAACATTTATGATTTTACTAAGCTATTGAAAAAATACCAAATAAGCTTTAAAAAAATTAAATATTTATCAATTAAAAAAATTGACATAGTAAAAAAACCTACCAAAATTAAATGTTAGTCACCACGAAATTGCAAATTATCACGTTATATTAAATATTAGAAATAGTTATTATTAAATATTAGAAAAATGAAAAGCAAATCTCTTCATAAAAAACACATAGTCAGAAAATAATTCTAAATAGTTTAGACTGAAAATATTCATAAGATTGATAAAAGTTTAATTATAAAAAACAACTATCAAACTGACTTAGTAATTTATATTTCCATATTATCATTCTCAATTTTTTTGTAATTAGGCTTAACATAATATATTTTCCACCATGATTACTCTTAATAAATTTATAAATACATATTTTGGGGAGATGAACTATAATTGAATTAGTAAAAAGAAGACTTACCTGGGGAGTAGAATTTGCACTGACACTTGTCTTTAATGAATCAAATCCTGATGCACTTGAAGTACCAAAAAAATCAAACAAATCGGGTTGGTTACTATTGCTGTTTGATGCATTGGTATTATTTTGCAACACGGAAAATGGATCAGAAACATTAGTAGTTTTCTGATCAGCCATATTGTTTGAAAAAGAACCAAATCCATTATTGTAGTTAAGGTCATTATTATTTGAACCTGTGAACATAAAATGTGCAATAAACAGCATAACTCAACAAACAACTTAAATAAAGTTTATATACAAGCATTTTAAATAGATAGCATAAAATACTTTTTAAAATATAATATAAGAGCCAGTTAAAATATTTAAAGTGAAAATAAAAATTATTTACAAAACAATATTCATTAATTTTTTGTATGTGTAACAACTTACTTATTCTTTTAATAACCTTTAACACTTTGAATTAAATTAAATTAAAGTAAATTTAATACTAATAATAGAAATTTGTTAAGAGACAAATTTACAGCTTTATTAACAAAAGCTTTGTCATAGAAAATATTTTTTCTTTAATACAAAAATCTTTTACACCTCTGACGCAGCACTTTCAACACTAATTATTTGATTAGTTATTTGAAATCTATATTGCCTCTGCTTAATAGAAAAGTATTCTATCAGAGAAACAGTTATTTTTACAACTATCGTTTTTAATTCAATCTCTTCATTTTTCAATTTACATCTGGTAAAAATAGTCCTATGTTTATTTTTTACTTGCTTTATGCTTAGGATATTAGTTTAACTCCAGTTTTAAAATAATTTGATTAAACTCATATTTTTTTTCCGATACTATATTGAACTCTTGCATAATACTATGTGATACTATGTGCATAATACTTGCTAATGCTATGTGAATACTACAATAGAACTTCAAAAAAACTAGCAAAACAAATATTTTTTTAAAAGTTTTTTGTAACATGTAGCTCATCATACAAAAAGGCCAATTACATAAAAATTTTAATTTAGAATTTTTTGCCCCTTATGTTGATTTTCCTATTGCACAGCAGTAATCACTTCATACAAAATCATAACTAGTTTTAATAAGTCAAAAAAAATGATCAGAAATAAAACTTTATTAACATTTTCATTGTTTATAAAATTTCATCTATTTAATTTTTAACACTGTTTTTCTTACAACTTTTTAAAAAACTAATATTGTTTGCTAGTAAGAACGAAAATTTTGTTTTAAGTATTAAATTAAGAAAGATTGATATTAATCTCCCTTAATAAGTTCCTATAAGTAATTTGTTCCTTTATTATATATATATATATTACATTTACAAGGATTAAATTATTATTTTTCTTTTTGCTAAATAAATTTTTATTAAGTATTAACTAAAATATTTAGAACTTTCTATTTTAAGTATAGATAGAGTCTTTGCATTAACAACTCTTTTAAAAACATAGAATATTTTTTATATTTAAAAATTGAAACTAAGCATGTGAACCGAAGCTTCTTATTTCAAAAATGTAACAAATATAACATAACACTTGGGGTAAAATGATTACTTTAAATGAAACTTTAATTTCATAAAATAATTACCTATAAGAGGAACGGATGGTGCATTGCTTAAGAGATCAAAATTGCTAGGGGTACCATTCATGTCTCCGTCAATATCTAAAAGATTGACAGGAGTGGTAGAATTTTCCGCGTTGTTAGAGATTGGTGGTTGGTTGGCAACTTTTNTAACCACTTCAGTAATGCTTCTTAAGCATCCTTGTGATCTGCTTTTCTCAACTTTTTTCTGCCATCTAAATTTTTTTCATGAGCAGAAATTATTAATTACCTATTTTTCCAATGTTACAAACTGCAGATTTGGATAGTTTTTATTCAGCAAATATCAGCTGGATTGCATCCATTTTCAATTTTTCTGATTATGCCCATTTTATCATCAATGGAGAACGTTTACTGCTCGCCATAGTTAAATTTGAGACACTTGCTTGCAGACTTTTTTTAACTGAACTGAGAGCAAAAAGGAGTTGAAATGAGGGCCTTATTAACACATATTAGTGTCCAACCCTTTGACCAATAATGAATAATTACTTTTTCCCTCTGACAGAAAATGCATATTGATCCCACTGACACCTGGCAGGTGCATCATCTGCCTGGGTTGGAAACATCTGCTTGGTTTGTTTAGGGATGGGAAAGTGAGACGAAAGAAGTAAACAAGAAAAAATGCTTATTGCTACATTCCCCTCTGTAGACGGTTTAAAAATCGGTATATGTATTTATCTTGAACTAGAAATTTCAAAATTATTCACCAAAAAAAAATGGAGAAAAAAATCAGTCGAAGACAGGAAAAAGTTCATTATATCCAACTTCCTCACTTTTTTGGTTCACTATATCCACAAAAAATAACATTATACATGTATAGCAAGGCACGGGACCGAACTTTTCGTTCACTATATCCGGGAGTTCACTATAAACAGTGTTCACTATAGCGGGGTTTGACTGTAGCAATAAAAAATTAAGATTCTGCAATAATCCTTTACACAAAATATTGAAAGGAACTACAGTAATTTGAATTTCTTAACAAATTCATTAATTTAATTTTTCTTCCCAATTGTTTTTTAGTTTTCCCTTATTTAAAAATGATTTATTAAATAGTTTGAAATTAATAACATTATTTAAAATATATTATCCTTATAAACTGTTTGAAAAATATTTATTTTAATATTTAGTATGCCTTTTTAAAAGAATTTCTTCAAAGGTAGTTTGTTCCACTGGTTTACATCTATCTCTGGATTCCATTTCCAGGTTTTAGGTAACACGCGTTTTCCAGAATTAGACCTTTTAGTTGTATTACTGCATATTTAAGCGTATTAAAAATGACACATTTAGAAGCATTTTTTAACTTTTAGAGAAACTAGTTCTCTTTACTATGAATCTTCATTGAAAATGGCTTGAATACAAGCAATCGAGGAGGATAGTTTGTATTTTAAGAGTGATAACAAGGAAACTATGGATCTGTGAAATTCCTATCGAAATAAATCTAACTTTAAATTAAACAATAAAGAAAAATAAACAACATCTATTGAAACGTGAATAAATTATATAAAAGGTTTACTTTCGAAAGAAAATGAAATGTTTAAAATTTTCTAAATCATACATCATAAAGCTTAATTAAGCTGGGAATTTGATGCGAAAGAATTTCCCCTTCTTCTCCAGACTGAAAGATGTGTAACATACAAATAAAAAATTCAAGCCTGCCACTCCAGGGTTCCTACTCGTTCAACAATGCAAAAATTAAGCACTTTTAAGGACCATATTTTGAAAAAATAAAGCACTGCTTTTAAAAAAATTAAGGACTTTAAAAATCGTATGATTGTTTATCATCGAATATACATATGTCACCAGTGAGTGCAAATTATCTAGCTTTCTAAAAATATCAATAAATAAAAAAATAATAAAAAAACAATTTTATTAAAATTTAAGAACTGATATAATTGTATTAATTTATAGGGCTTGCCAAAGAAGTACTAGGTAATTTTTGCAAACTTGGGTCAGATTTTTTATAAAACATTTTCAGACAGTTAAAAGTTAACGCCTTTCAGATTGTAAAAGTTAACATATGACACTAACCTGTATTCCATTTTTAATGATTTCATTGAAATTTAATTGTAAAATTAAGTGCAGAATTTAAGATTTGAAATTTTTTTCATGCATATTAAAAAAAAAGAGTAAATAACAAAATTTGGCAAGAACATTGAAATAATTATAACAACAAGTTTTTATATTTCGCTACTAGGCCAGCAAATGTGCCAGATTTACTTTTATGATGAACTTTAGCAAAATTATTTCCAGCCAAACCAGTTATTAAGAATTAACTTTAATGTTACTAAATATTCTGGCGAAAAACAGGATGTAATTTTAAAGCAACCTAAAATTGAACAAAAATTAAAAACAGTATATTAAGTTGCAATGTTAACTGAATAAAATTATTATTAAAATCTAAGGATCATTCTAAATCTAAGGATTCATAAGGAGTAGATTTATATTTTAGAGAACAATTTGCTTATCTTTAAGGAATAAAAATAGCGTAACAATCTAAAACTTTAAAGAAAATTTACATTGCAACAAAACAAATTATAAATAGTTACCAAATACTTAACTTTCTTGTTAGAAGCAAACCATGCTTTTTTTTTATTTAGGAGGAAAAAAATTAAAAGTATTTTTTTAAAAAAAAACTTGAGATTTTCATCAAAAACCCAATAAACTCCATGTTTTTGATGAAAAATCTAGGTGGGCTGGGATTTTTCAAACCCTGTTTCTTACAGATCTGTTTACTTATTAGTACAATCATGAATTTTAAAAAAACATTATGCTTTCTGCAAATTTATGTTTACTTATTACACATTGAATTATTATACAAATTTATTTAATTCTTCAAGATTTTAGGAAAAAGTTTTAGTTATGGATTCTTGTTCAAAAATTTTTGTGAGACTTCTTTTCTTAGAGTTTTACTTAATCCTTACAAGCAGATGTGTTACCAGTAGAACTGAATTTTCCATGTGAAGTATTACCCTTGTTCACTGTATTCTTTTCTTTTAGAACGCTTCACTCTCCTCATAGAGTATCATTCTGGGCAAAAAGGTAGAATATATTAATGAAAGAACCAATATATTAATAACTGGACATACTTACTTCCCCTTACCTATAGCTCCCCCCTACACACATTAATTTTTATGTCTCTAAAATGTTTTACCTGTAATGCATGGTCTAATTTAAGTCTAAATGTAATGCATGGTCTAATTCTAAGTGATAAAAGGACATTTTGTTTTAAAAAATTGAATTGAAAAATTGTTCCCATCAACTATAGTGATGCTAAAAAATTAAGGACTTTTAAAAACCTTGTACCAAAATTAAGTACTTTTAAGGGCCCTTATTTTCCAAAATAAAAATTAAGCAGTTTTTAAGGACTTATAAGGACCGTGGGAACCCTGCACTCACGAATAAAGCTACAGATGTAGATTGCAATTCTTTCAGAAACTGAAAGTCTGAGAGTCAAAAAATACAGATACAAGAAGGGAGAAAGTAAAAAAAAAATCCAAATAAAAACTGCTTTTGAAGTAAGGACAGTTACTGAATAACCATCATTTTTTTCAATCATCATCACTCATTTATTGAAAAATAAAGTAGCCACAGCACAGTTGAAAAGAACACTCAAATGCCAATAAATAAAACAATGCCTTACTTATTCATAAACAATATAACTATCTATTAATTACTCAAACAAACATTTAAAGCAGGAAAAAGTAATGAAAAGCAATAAAATAAAAGATACGTGTGTTTGTAAGACAGCACTTCTGCAAACACACATATCTTTTATTTTATTGCTTTTTAATACTTTTCCCTGCTTTAAATGTTTGTTTGAATATCTAAATTAAAATAAAGCAAATTTGGTTTTAGCTGCTTTAGGCACTTTTCCATTTTGATTTAATGTCTTAATCGTTAATTTACTTCTTTATCCTTTTGTTTTTGTAAATTGGATTCATTTTCTGATTAGATATCTGTTAATTATGACGGTTGTTAGTCGGTTAAGACAAATAAAAAAAAGTGGAGTAAGAATATCAATGAACAATTTTAACCAAGTTTGCGCTCTGTGCTTATGTCCTATAATAACTCAGGAAGGAATGAAGGTACTCTCTATCTGGCTTCAATCATGTCAGGGTTTTTACTGATGGATCTTCTGACTCCACTTTCACCAACGGAGGTGCGGGAGTGGTACTGCTCCTACCTGATGATCAAAAACGAGAGTTCGCAACTGGTGCTGGAAAAATCTCATCTAATTTTACGGCAGAATTGATAGCCATTTCTATGGCAATCGAAACGTACATCAATCTTGAACCTTCGGAGCAGCTTAGTGGTATCACCATCTTAAGCGACTGCAGGTCTGCCTTACATGCCCTCAGCAAAGGTACCTCAAGCCTTATCCTGAATATCATAGAACAACTTGGACAACTTCAGCATCTCTGGAAAAATTGCTTCTTGCAGTGGATTCCCGCCCATGTGAACCTAGAGTTCAATGAAATAGCTGATTTCTTGGCTGAAAATGTCAGAGATCTAAATCAAAATTCAATCCCAGCCACGTTGGTAAATGCAAATGCTTTTGCAAAGTCAAGACTATTCACCCCTTTAAAAATCAAAGCCCACGATCAAATAACTAATCTTGACATCGATAGGAAGACAGCCACTACTCTCATCAGACTAAGAACAAAACATCATAAAAACATGAAAATTTCTACAGATAAGACTAGAAAATATCAAAACTGTGGCAACTGTCTTAATGTGGAACTGACACCATATCATGTTTTTAACTGCCCTGCAGTCGCTGCAGGCCTTCACTTCTTAAACTACCCCACAGAAGAGGATTTGTATTCTTTTAATGCCATAGAAATAACAAAAACTATTCAAGCACACCATGAAATATGATTCAATAGAGGATATGACACCAACCAACCAACCAGGAATGAAGGTTGAGAGAATATTTTGTAAAATTCATATTAATTTGTTACCTACTGACATGCTTCAAAATCAAGCATTATTTAAGTATCAAGGATAAACAGAAATGTTTTTTGAATTAAAAACTGAAACTTGAGGTAATATCAAAAGTTGGATAAACTTTTATAAATTTTCAAATGACATTGAATCGTTAATTTCAAATTCTATAAACAACAAAATATCAATGTTTTAAGACATTTCAGTAAATTAAAAAAACTTGGCTCATCTTTGATTGAAATGACAAATGAATATTTAAATAGTGAAAATGAAGTATAAATTTAATGGTTAATTAAGCTGTTAGTGTATTTCTAACATATAACTTTGAAGCCATTTTTTTTTTCTAAATTAAGATATGCCAGTTTATAAAATCTAATGTTCTTAGAATGAATGTTATTTTGACAAATTATGGTCATTTACTGAAAAATGGTTTTCTGAAGAAAAAGTACATATTAAAGTAACCTCGAAAGTACTGTGGAAATTAAAAACCTTTTTAATGTGAATAAAAACTAATACAGTAGAGTACTAAATATCTGCGCTGATTAAGTTCACCCAGTTTGCGTAAAAATTTGGAAAATGGAAGAATTTTTAAAAAAATTATAAGGAAAATAAAATTTGTGTCTCAAAGAAATTGAAAATTAATTTCCCCCTCTCATGTTACTAAAAAAGGAATAAACTCGTTCTTTAACAAGATTACCTCTGAACCCACTCTCATTGAAATAAGGCAAAGCATATTAGCAAAAATGGATCTTTTCCATGGACAAAGCGTGAAGAAAAATAGAACCACCCTGAATAGCTTTTGCATGATTGAATTTTTAAGTACTCGAATTCAATCTCAAGGGTTCAAAGGGTGATCACAAATATGCTAATTAATTACAGCACACGATACTTTAAGTTACGAATTCATGTATATATATGTACTTTCTTTGATCAGACAAATATTTTTTCGACGGATTTCAAATTTTACCCTCAAAATATACAATCTGAGACACATGATCTTAATAAATTGGCCAGGAGAACAATCAAAGTTAGGACCTCTCAATGTTAATACTTTGAATCAGACATAAAAATGTACTTTCTTTGAATAAACAAAAATCTTTTTTCAATGGATTTGAAATCTTTACCCTTAAAATATAGGTGAGCTACAATCTGAGAAACATGATCTCAATAAATTGGTAAGGAGAGCAGTCAAAAGTTTGGATCTCTTATTGTTAATTTTACTTTGAATTAGGCATAAAAATGTACTAAACAAATATTTTTTCAATAGATTTGAAATCTTAAACCTCAAAATATAGATGAACTACAATCTGAGAAATATGATCTTAACAAATTAGTCAAGAGAGCAGTCAAAAGTTTGGACCTCTTAATATTAATTTCACTTTTTTCGTATTTCGCCATATCTTGAGTAATTTTTGAGTGAATTGAAAAAATTTTGCACACAATCTTGAAACTTATTCAATTCCAGTTATTCCATGCAAAAAATAATTTTTTATTAATTTACTTTATATAAGTCGAAAAAATATTTGAATTGTGAAGTATAAAAAATTTTTATATAATTTTTAAGAATGTAATTTTATTTGGCAAAATAAAAAATTTGTACTTTTATCGTTTGTGATGGAGTAATCCTATTTGAGCATCTAAAATATTATATCCAATTTAATGTACCAAATTTAAATTTTGATTTAAAATACTAAACAAATACATTGTATTATTCTATTCTCAAGCTCGGTCATCACTTCCTTTAGCCTGTAATTACCATTAAAGCGTTTATAAATTTTAGGTTAGTAAGGACATTTTACTTAATTTCACCTTGCAGGAAACAAAATATTGTGACTTTTGTATAAGTTCCACATATTTTTGACAAAGACTTATATAAACTTAACAATAACAAAAATGCACAATAATGTTAAAATTAACTCATAATAGTTGAGGATGATAATAAAAGCAATAAAAAATCAAAATTCTTTCTTCATCATCAAACATAAGTCAACGGTTACTAAGAACAAATGTCATTTGAGTGACCAGGGTTAGATGGTAATGATGCAAAGTGCAAGTTAAAATCAGCAAGTTAAAATAGGGACAAGTTAAAATCAGCGCAAAGATATCTTTAAATTGCAGTGAAACGTAAAAAACAACTCAGTTTTGAATTTTCCTACGTGTGCTGATAATAAAAATTTATTTTTATCAGAGTTTGTAGAGCATTGAAAGAGATTGAACTTAAAAATAACCTCTGCACTAATTAATTAGCATGTTTGAGGTCACCTCTTAGAACCAGTAAGATTGAGTTCTAGAACATGAAGATCCTATCATTAGATTAAAAGATATTCAGGGTGGTCCGCTTTTAATTTTAAGCACTGTACATTGATTTTATACTAAAAAAAACTGTAGATTTAATAATATAAAATAAACTGAAAAGATTTAAGCACTTACAAATGATTCTTTCTCTTGCCAATTTAGTGAAGCTGAAAACTCTTTTGCAGTAACATTTTCAGGTTCCTGTCCAGGTTTGCTGAAATGTGCTGCAAAACAAAATAAGATTAAATGCTTCAAGTTCACACAAAGTATTTTTTATGTTATGCAAGCATATGCTCTTACTTAAGCATGCATCCATTTCTTCATCAGTATTAAACAATAATCTGGGTTTTGGTTGCATTTCAGCAATTTCCTTCCAAACAGGTAAAATTTCTGGCTTCTTCTGATCAGAAACTGCAAGCCCCAAAGTCACAGAAAAGTTGTCAGGATAACGGTCCAATTCTTCAATGCCATCTAGCTCATTTCTATGGTTATTTAATATTTTAACGTTAAAAAAAATCACACAAAATAAAACATGAATCAAATAAAAAAAAATTACATTTAAGACTTTAAATCTTCAATTACAATTAAATTCCTTCCGATATGTTTTGCAATTCTGCCTTTTTTTTATTCTTCTCATTTTCTGCATTAACAAAATATTAAAACAAGCGCAAAGTTTTTAAAATTTTGTATGTAACAAGATCAAATAAAGATTCAAATATGTATAATAATTTTTTTTTAAATTACTAAATTTATCACAATTGGTGCGAAATTAATTAAAATTTCCTGTTTAATAGGCTTCTAATGTCTTGTTCCCTCTCAAGGCAAATTCAAAACGATCAACTGCCATTGAACCAGTTAGAAAACTTCTTTCAATGTTTTAATAATAAGAACTCAGATGGTGACCTAGTGTTATTTAAGACATTTACACATTTTTCTTCTTATAGTTTATTATTAGCTTAATAATTATATCTTGCAGCAGCATCATAGTGGACTGGAGATATAAGCTTACTAATTCCTGATCTAGTATATTGTCTATCACTAGATGCTGATAATGGTTTAGCACTAAACAATCTGAGTTTTTCAAATTGATGATTAAAGTTTCAAAAACATAACTTTAAAATAAAAAATTTGTTAACTAATTCCCAAAGAGTGCCTTTCAATGAACAAAAATGTTCTGAAGTATTCATTACTTTTAATAAATAACAATATGGCATATATATAATTCTACATATGATAACAAATAAGGCCAATCCATTTTGTCTGAAAAGGAAATATAATAATACTCAAACCTATAACATTTTTTACAGTAGATTAAAATAAACAAAGAATATATGAGATAAGCCTTTATTTTGAAAGGTGTAAAAAACCATTACTTTATCAAGAAATTTAACCCTGTTAAATAATGATTATAAATATAATAAGAAATTATCTAAAATTACTATTATAACTCTTTTTTTTTTCAAAAACTAACTTTACTTTCTACCACTTTAAAAAAAAAGGTAATTGTATGATATAAGAATGTATGATAAATGACTAATAAAACTTACTTAGATCTTTTCCTTTTTAATTTGAGTGAGTGGCACCTCTCTTTAAAAACAACAAAAATCTTCTCCCCCTTTTTTAATTTACTACCTTTAAATGACAATTTTCGCAATTTATCCATAATCAATAATTTGATTAAACTGGATTAAACAAATTCAGACAACAAAGCAACTGCCACACAAGATTATGTATTACACTAATGGAAATGCCGACCTTCAAATTGACCACCACACTTGTTGTTTGCAAACATTCTTTTCAAGACATGGATTGTTTACTCACCTGCTGTAAGTCATGGACTGGGTTCCTGGAGCTATAAATCCTGTATTTAACTGCAGCTGCAAAATTTTGAAAGCTGTAACCTAAGAAAGAAAAAACGAGCTATGTTTAGATGTAATAAAACTCCCTTTCACTCAGAAGATAATTAGAAAGTGAAAGCAAAAGTAGAGTAGTTCCAGCCACATTTAAAATAAAGCAAAATGTTGAGCTGTTTTTTATTGCTTGCACAAGCTCATTCAACTAAATTTGCTGACCATGGAATTTATACTATATTTATAACATAAGTATAAAAAAACATTAATAATTATTAAATTTAATAAATAAAAAAAAAGTCATTTTTTACAAGATAAAGGTTATCTTACAAATAATGGTTAGGAGTATCCTTTGTTAAAGACACTTTTGGAAAGAATGCAATCAGATTTGTTAATAATAAATTCATGCGACTTTTAATTAAGTTATAAAAGTATGAAAAGTATGAAAAAATTATTTGAAATAAGTAAAATATTATTAAATGTGCACATGAAATGTGAGTAAAAATATATTTAACTGTGATTATTTTTAATTTACAACTTTGTAATTTGTTAACACACATAATACAATTCGGAAATATATTTGTGCTCACAGAAACATAACTTAGGTACAACTTTTAAGGTCAAGCAAAAATGTTATTTTGGTAAAAATAATTATTTCATTTTTAATTTTTTCCATTTAATAATTTTACCATCTTTTCAATCGTATAACTTTATAGGAGTTGATGTTTTAATATTTCATTGGATTGCCCAGAAAGTTTTTGCAGACTTTGAAAGAAAACTGAATAGCAGCACATTTAAATTATGGTATATATTTAATAATTGGTATAAGTGTTATTTTGTTCCAAAGAATTTCTACACTTTTCAGTAAACTTTAAAATGTCATTGTTCCAAAATCTCTCATGTTTTTTAAACAAAACAAAAAATTCCAACTTACGCTTTTTTTTTCTTTTTTTTCCCCCTCAACTATAAAGGACTCATGCATTTTCAATTAAGGGAATTATGTAATAATCCAAGCAGATCAAATTCTGAGGGCACAAGGTTTAATGAATATGGTAAATGTGGTAATAAATAGGAATTGTACAGTAACAACTTTTGTCAAGTTAAAGATATATAAAACTCTGCATTGACCTGATAAAATGGTCCTTTCTGATTTGCGATTTTTTGAATATTTGTACAATCGCTGTCATCAATTTCTTTATTGAGGAACAATACTTTTCTGAATTTATTATTCAGAATCTGATTACATATTTTTCAATTATTCTGATCCAATATAGTAGATGTGGTAATAAATAGGAATCACACTATAAGAACGTTTATCAGGTTGATGGTACATAAAGCTTTTCATTATCTTGATAAAATAGACCTTTTCACTCTGCTATTTTTGAAATGTTTGCGCAATCGCTGTCATCAATTTCTTTATAGAGGAACAATACTTTTCGGAATTCATTCCTTCAGAATGCGTTTACCTATTTTTCAATTATTCTGATATACAGGGATGAGAGTAGTCAGAGAGTAAAAAAGAGGAAATCCAAAAATGAGTATATATATAATATGTAGAACCTATGATGTCCAAAAATTTGACAAAAAAAGTGTGATTTTTAAACCATGTGATTATAAATCCCGATGATTAATTTTAAAATTGTATGAATATGAATCACATAAATATGAATCACGATGCATAATTTTTTAATCGCGTGAATACGAATCCCAATGTCTAATTTTTAAATCACATATAAATACGAAAATCAATGCTTGATATTACAATTGGATTTCAAATTCACGTGAATATGAATCGCTTCATAGGATTTTAAAAACGCATAAATACAAATTGCGCTATTGGATTTCTAAATCTCGTAAATAAGAACAACATACAATATTTAAATCACGTGAGTAAGAATCGCAATGAGCAAATTTTAAATCAGGTAAATATGAGCATCGATAATTAATAATAAAATTGCAATTTTAAAAACAAGTAAATACAAATCGCAATGTTGGATTTGTAAATCTCGTAAATAAGAATTGCAATGTACGATATTTAAATCACGTGAATAAGAATCGCAATGCACAACTTTTAAATCAAGTAAATACGAAAATCGATGCTTGATATTAAAATCACGCGAATAAGAATCAAGATATTAGCACATTCTGGACTTGGGATTTCAAAAAGGCTTGTTTGTATTGTTTTTGTTTAGCCATAATAAATAAAAATTTACAAGAACAATTGAATGAGCAAATAAATATTTTCCCTGCAAATCCGACGCTATTTTCTTTTATTATTTTGTTTGCTTTCCTGCCAGTAAACAGGATGCAGCAAGACGTCTGAATTACAAAAATACGAGATATCTGGCGAGCAGGAAAAAATAAGAAAAATCTTATTTTCTGCATGTATAAGCAGAGAAAATAGCTACATAGATTCAATTTTCTATTTATCTTTGAAAAATCGAAAATAGAAAATATTATTTTATTTGAAAGATTGAATTTCCAGAAAAAGCAAAATATTTATTTTTTAAAAAAAACAACAACAGAAAAAACTTTTAGGGAAAAAAGCAGAAAAATCTAATCTCTGGATATATTCAGACTTGTTCTTACACTATCTAACAAAAAATAAGCTCAAATTTTCTGCACAACCCTCTGATACAATGATTCTAATGAGCAGTAACCAAATATTATTGATTAGAAGATTAAATATTTATACAATGAAAAAAATTGTCAAGTGTACTAATTTTATTATATAAAGCACATAAAATATAACACACCTTTCCTTGAACTTTTCCTCCAAAAGTGGATCTTGCATGATACACAACAAGCGTCACATCACCAACTACAGTTGTTTTTATAGGAATTCTGACTTCATTATCATATGCATTGAAATGCCTACAAAGTATATACACTATAAGATTTTAAATAATAATATTAGGTAGATTTTATTGAAGTATTTATTTTAGGGTAGGTAGGGTTTTTTTTTTTATAGCAGAAAATTTTTTTTTATTAACAGATTTTTAACTTAGTAAATCATTTAAATACCAGATAAATTTTGACATATTTAACTTTAAATACTTTTTAAAAGTTAAGAAAATTGATACACACTTCTTCCTTAATACTACTATAATTCATCCAAGAAAAAAAATGAAAGTAAATGATGTTGCTCAAAAAGTAATGATATCATTGTTTAAAAAGAAAAACCCTTTGCAAGTTTATGAAATTTGTTTTCTAAATAAGCTTATCAAAATGCGCTTCTTAAACTATTCAGAAAAATTGTTTTTGAATTATTTAATCATATATTTATAATGCTAAACACACAAAAAAAAAGTTTTTTACAAAAATAAGTAATCAAGAAAAAAAAGTTGACGAAAACTTAAAATAATACATAGCAAAATCTGAATTAAATAAATAACAAAAATTTTGCAATATTAAATGCAATAAAATAAATTTTTGATCACTACTTTAAAGGTAAGTCTAGCTTAGTTTGAAAAATACAATCAAAAACTAATATTTTTTTTAAATATTTTTATTTATCTTTGTATATTTTGAGAATAGTTTTTTATTTTATTTTATTTATTTATATTTTTTTAAAAACTTATACAATGGAATAAAATTGCCTTCATAGATTCTGATTAAAGCAAGGAGTTTGTTTTGCTGTTCTCATACTTTCTTTATAGTGTTATCACTGGAAGAATCACAGAAACTTAGAAAAATAACTTTATAATAACTTATTTTGCAACATAAACCTAAATTGGAAGAAAAATAGGTATTTACACATTCTGATTTTAGGCAGAAGTGCATATTTCTTTTCACAATGAATAAATAATTAACAAAATGTATAGCAAGACTTTCATTACATAATCTAAAATTAAAAATATTCCAAAACAAAATGAAAAGTTAAAGCGAATAATAATTAGAGGAAGCAACAAAATGTTGAATTTTTTCATCATTTAAGTCTCTCTTTATCAGCATTTTTAAGAGTAATTATTTTTTTTTATTTATCATACGACTTTATTGAAAATCAATCCATATATTACAGGCAACATATACAAGAGCAAGAATATGAGTATTATGAATACACAACAATTAAAATACGCGAGCAATAAATGAGAGCAGTGAAAATTAAAGATAACAAAATCAAAATGAACTACAGTAAAAGGTGTCAGACGAATGGAGACACGAAAGTTCTGCAGAGAATTCATTATGCTTCTATCATCCTAATATAACTTGAGAATATTGCCATTACTTTGAGATTCTTTATAAAGTCCTATGCATGATATAAAGTGTTCAGCATTAATTTTACCTGCTCTGCAGATGTGATTATTACTTGTTGGAAGGATGCCGATGTTGTTTAGAAGTTCTGCTAAACAATCATGACCCGTTTTAAGTCTAAAATAAACAATGAATTACATACAGGATGTATGACTATAGTCTTTCCAACTCTCTTGGATCTTAGATTCCTTTGGATAGTAATTCGTACTTTGTTCTATGTGCTGTGTTAATTTTATTGTAAATGTGCATCTTTGAAGAATTTGTTAAGAGTGGAAAAGTTAGCTGTTCTTTCTGCGTACCCATCCTTGCTAGAGAGTTGGCTTTCTCGTTACCATCTATACCTACATGTGACAGAATCCACTGAAATACTATTACTTAAATTATTATTTTTAAGAGATTTGATTAGTTGTTTAATATGTGAGATGATACAAGATTCGGTTCGGTGGTTTGTCGTAACTGTTTAGTCTTAACTATATATGTTTTATATTTAACATTTTTATTTTTAAAAATTTATATATAAGATGTTGCAAAAGCAATAAAAAAATTTCATGATTACTATATAAATTGTAAGAAAAGAAACATAAATAATACCTAATTCTCTCATATTCTTGAGAAGTAGTGAAATTTCTGGTTTCTCCCACATAAACTTCAACAAATGGCCTGCAACCATCTCTATAAAATAATGGGTGCTTATCAGAAAAAGAAGGGGGGGGGGAGAATCATTTTACAAAAATAATAATAATAATAAACTTACAAAGTACAAAGAATAATCATTCAATATTTAAAAAAAAATAAGTACATTAAATTCAGCATATAAAAATTCGAAGTTAAAATATTTTTAAAAATTTAATTTAAAATTTTCATTTCTCACAATACATGTCAATTAAACCAATTTCCACTCTTAACATTTAACAATAATGAAATTCAACAAACTATAGCTTTTTGTCTGTAACTAAGGTTTTTATTTTATTTCTTACGAATTTTCCCTATTTTCATACCATATTTAAATATTAATGCATGGTTTATGTACGCATGGTATGTAATGCATGGTTTATAAGTATATAAACTTTACACTAATATTTATAAGTTTATAAACCTTATTTTTCAAACAAGAATCCCATACAACATATCTAAATGAATTAATTTCCAAACATTTTATCCTTTGAAACTTTTGATGAGTACAGAATGAACTAGTTCACACTAAATTTTCAATCAGTTTCACTAAAATTTAGCAAAATAATTGTTCCTTGGTCAATAGGAAAAAAAAAAGGCTTTCCAAGTTCATAAATTTAAACAACTTCTAGTTCATGAGGATAAAAATATAAAATCAATTTATGACTAATGTCTAAACTGTAAGCTCAACGATAAACTCAAGAAGAGAAAAAAATTCATTGCATAGAAATGAGTGATTAGATATTGTCTAGACTTATTGTCAACTTAAAATTGATCATGTTTGTAATTGTTATTTATTTTCCTTCATAAACAAATTAATGAAAAAAAGGTACTAACACAGCTGTGGTTAAAATAATATGAAGATTTAATTTCAGTAAGCATATGTAAGATGTGGTAAAATATTAGATAAAACAAAAATACAATTTAAAAAGCTATAAAGTGGAACTTAATACTTACTTTAACTTAGTAAACAAAGGAACTGGCTTTAAAACAATATAGTTAAAAGTAACAGGACTAGTATGTGGATAAGTTGGTTTATCGCTCACTAAGTCAGCTACATACTGTATATACCTACAAAAAATGGATTCGTCATATTTATTTTCAATAACACACTGTTACAAAATTATTTTAATGAGGTATATTTGCCGGTAATTTCTTTCCGTATGAGCTAAATGTTGTTTAGAAATTAACCAAATAATTAGAACTTTTAGTAGAAAATTATTAAAATCTTTTAATTATATAATTATACAGTTCCATAACATAAAAAGATAAAAGAATGTTGATAGGAATCATAAATGTCAATAAAATATTGTGTTTGCTTCAGAAAATTATCAACTACACTATTGTATTCATAAAATAAGCCATAAATTTTGCAGTAGTAATTAAGTGGTATCAAATGGGAAAAAAAATTCTCTTGCACAAAAGTTAGCAACAATAAAAAAATATAGGGAAAGACCAAAAAAAAAATAATAATAATAATGTGTTACCACTGATTTCTTTTTTATAAGCTTTGACCTTTTACCAAATAAACTTTCTTGCACATGCATTGAAACATATTCCTAATAAAACTTAGACAGTATGTTAGCATAAAATTTTTTTGGTCAAATTTTTGAAGTCTATTTACAGTTTTATTTTTTTAATGATAATATTCTCTTTTAACTAACGTACATTCATTACTCCACATAAAACTACTACCACTTAATCAAGACATCAACCAAATAGTTGCACTGTACGAAAAAACACAATCTTTCCACCTGCATGCTTTTTTAACGAAGGCAACTAGTTGAATTATATTATTACACAGAGAAACAGTCTACACACTCAATTTTTTTTTTCTATTAGCAAAAGCAAAACTCATAGAGGCTCATGTGGACGTCTAAAAAATTTTTCACAAGCTGAAGAAAACTTACCTCAATTGAGAAGGAACCATATTAACACAGCATCTTCGAAGAGCAAACAGTTGAAGTGCTTCTTCTGGCCTTTTAAAAAGTTTACAAAAAATAAGGAATGCGCAAACAAGTACAGCAGATGATGATTTCCCATCCTAAAAACAAATAATATCAATTATAACAAACACAGATATTTAGCATTAATTTATTAAATTACAAAAACCCAGGACTCCACACTTACATTTAAAGCTATTGTTTCTTAAAGCTATTGATTGTGTTCAGTTTTGTGCAATTTCTTATTGTTGCTTAAAACTACTTTATTGAAGTTCGAATGCATTTTTAAAAAAATCTAATTCATTTTAATAAATAATACTCAAAAAGTAAATTTTTTGTTTAAAAAATTAGGCTTTCTTATGAAAGAAGTTTGCATGATTTTTTTGATTCTGAGATAATTAATTAGAACACAATTCTGCCCATTAAATAAAAAAAGAAGAAGAAATTGAAGAGCTAACTTACCAAACAATGCACAATGCAGACATTTTTAGGATCTTTCTTTAAGTATGCATACATATTTCTGCAGAGAGAAATTAATGTATTCAAAGGAGGAGATTTCTTAGCCGGCCAGCCAGCTTCACTAACTTTAGCATTAAACTTTACAGAGGAATATGCACGTCCAGAAACATTATAAATGGCATAGTGTTGAGGATGTCTGGAATCTAAAAGACCTCTAACATCATCCACGTGATTGCGGTAAGCAGATTCTATGCCTTCGGCAGGATATGACATGACTGAAATGAATAACATTAGTAAGATGACTGCAATATTGGTTTGTTTTTAAATTTCTAAATATAATGAAGAACACCAAAAATAATAGCTATAAGAGGGTGATTTCATTAAATCCATAAATTATTTCTCAAATATAGAATAGTATCTCAAAATTATTAAAAAAATAGCATGTTCATATTATATTATTATTATAATTAAACAGCCGACCGAATTCTGAGTTTACGACTACCAATGTTCAACTCTGTAGCCTTGTAAGTTCGAGCCCAGTCCAGAAGACAATGGAACTATAGGGTCAGGTAAAGGGAGATATTTGGCTTTGTGGAAGATTTTTTGATGGAACTAATCCATATTCGTGTTATATGGCCAAGAAAACCACGAAAACCTCTCACGGGTATCTGACAAGGCAGAAAGACTCCAACCCATGAGACCTACCACCAGACCAGAGTGAAATTTGTATTAACTAGCCATCATTTTGGGATTCAAACCCCGATGACCCTATTGGGTCACTCCTGAGCTACCACTGCTTTCCATATTCATATTAGCAAAAATCAGCAATAGTTTGGTCAATACCGAAAAAAAACCATAGTGCATCTAAGCAATATAAAAGCATCATGAAAGGTTAGAGGAATGCACTGTTTAATATTACAATCCTTTCTGCAAAACAAAGAATTTTATCATACAAATTTTCAAAACTAGCAATAAAATATACCAACAGATGGTGTCACAATATGATGCTAAAAAAATATTAACATGTTGCAAAACTGCAACAAGAATCTTTTCAAAACAACTGTTTGCAACAATAAGATAGTTAAAGCTGAGAGAAAATGCCCCTCTGCAGTATATATGTTTGTAAACTTAGTAACTAGGTTTGGAATCAGTGAAACAAAAATTTTCCTACTTTCCTAGTAAAATACAACAAACAGTACATTTCTTTCCCCTTCCAATTTTAACATAAATTTTTCAGAGGAATCAATCAAATATGAGACAAGCTGTCTCGATGCCCAAGAATTCAAGATTCACTTTGCAAGAAAACTTCACCATGGGATCAATAAAATATATAAATTGCAAATAAAAAAAAATTCAAATTATACATAAATAATATTTAGAAACTGTAGCGATAAAATATTACCTACTTAAAAACTTCATTTGCTTTACAAAAATATTAGTAGGAAGCAGTTGACATGTTTCAAGCACATTTATCCATTTTCAAGACTTGCCCAAAAGTGAAAGAAAAGAAGATTTGAAACATAAAATGAAAAGTTGATAACCAAAAGTACAAATAAAGGGAAGAAACAAAACTTGGATACTAATGTGGTTTCTCTAGTTTTTTTTCTTCTCACATTTATTGTTCCATTTTTCATTGGCAACTTTTCATTTAATATTTCAAATCACTTTTGTTTCTTTTCATTCATGCCTGGCAAGTCTTGAAAATGGGTGCCAGTTTTTGAGAGCTTGAAACATGACGACTGTTATTTCCTATTTATATATTTTTGAAGCAAAATAAATTTTTAAACAGGTAATGGTTCAAATAATTTATTTATTTCTGTTGCATTATGTAACTAAAGCAAAATGATTTTCGGTTCGCAGAAAGCTAAACAAATTAAAAACAGAACAATTTATCGAATAAATACCAAAAATATTCTACAGGCGTATAGCACTTACCAGCAACTCGAGTAGTAATATAATTGAAATCCAAATCTTGACGGGCAATAGACCTAAAAAAAAGTTTTTATTTGAAAAATTTACTCATCAAGCTTTTCAATAAAATTCTGCAACTTTAATAAAATTTAGAAAACTCACTGTTGAACAGTCTGCATCACTTTGGAAGACTGCTCCTTGAGATTTTTGAGAAAACTACCAGCCCCACCTTTCAAAGAACCAAATAAGCCAGCACCTGCGGCGGCATTGTTGTTCATCATGTGGCTTGTAGATTCAGCATTTGCTGATGGGGGTGGTGGTCTAGGAGGAGGAGGTCCAGAGCTCATTTGTTCATTTACAGGATTTCGATTAGGGATATGACCTACAGGATTTTAACGTAGAAATAAATAAATAAGAAATTATATTTATAACTATATTACTAGACGAAAAGTTAATACTAAATTATTTATTGAGGTATCATGTATGAAATAATTTTTTTAACTTTCTAGGGAAAGTAAAATGTAATTTTAAGTCATATTTATTTGTTCAAAAATAAGTAATAATACTCATGAAATTTTATGTATCAAGTTATTTTTGTAAATAATAAAAAAAAAATTTCAAAGAAAAACACCTGTTTATTAATTGCTACTGCATGCCTGTGGAGATCATTAGTTAGGAAGCACAAATCTAACCCATAGGGCACCAATGCTTTAGGCAACTTCAAATTCTCACAAACAAACAGTCATAATATTGCACATTTGGCTAAATTGTGCTTTCATTTTACTCTTTTGTCATCTGAAAATTCAAATTAAATCACATATAATTTTTCTATTACTCTTAATTTCAGAAAAGAGCAGAAATTTCTTTTTTTTTTCTAAAAGGAAAAAAAATTTAAAGCAGCATTTTCTATAAATATGTTGCAATTTAAGATACAAGAGCCTCCCCAGATACCAAGACACTTGTCTTTAACAGAAGAAATTGATTGTTTCTTAGGGATAACAATGAAGAGTAATAACCACTAACCATTTATTTTACACCCAAAAAGTCCTTTTTTAAAAAAAGATTGCATAAGAAAAAGGGAATTGTTCACCTTGTTCAATTATTCACGAGTCATTGCTTGTACATAATAATTTTTTTAGTTAATTTAGAGCGATCCTCAGTAAATCAGTTTTTTTTTCTTGTTTTTTGACAAATTTAATATATAGAGCTAATTTATCTGAAAACTAATGAAAAATACAATATTTTGCTAATTTATTATTGAAAATTTACATGAACATCTACTTGATTAGTTACAATATTTAGATTTTAAAAATCAAATCCTTTTCATCATGAACAAAAAAGTAAGTTGTGTCAACCAAAAGCAAAACATTTATATCTCAATATTAGTAATAACATAGTAAAAGTGATAATCATTTACAAAACTGTTTAAAGTGCAGTTTTCTTTTATATTTGTTCTTTTTTTATTTTAAAAACATTATTCACAAATAAAAAAATAAAAAAATTTTTAGAAAAAAATGAACAAAATTTCAACTCCATTTTGAGGTGGAAAATCAACATGAAATACAATACTTACTGGGGCTAGGTGCATTGTTGCCTAGTGGTTGTCCTAGGTGAAGAGGTGCATCCAAATTTGTGTGCCTAGCATCAGCGATTTCATTCAGCCTTTCCAGAATTTCTTTAACACTAGGTCTGTCAACAGGATTAAGTTGCAAACAACCCTCTAAAATAAAAAAAAATTTTAATGAACAAAACTTGTTATTCAAAACATACAAGCCACATTTTTTGCATAAAATTTATTGTAAATTTTTTAATATTACAAAATTATTTAATATGACTTAATCAAAGACTGTTTTTTAAAAAAAACAAGCATTTCTTCTATATTGTAAAATATCCTAAGAGAGAAAAATTTATGGGTCAATACTTTTAAAAACTAAAGAGACTATTTTAACTTTACATCGCATGTGGAAAAATTGTCTTATAAATCACAGTGTTGCCAAGAGGTGGAAAAATAAGGTTAGTGTTTACAGTTGAAGTAAGAAAAACTCTATGCGATATATATCAGTTGTCTTTATTAATTCAAAATTTAATTCTAGTGTGTAACTTTTTATTTTTTAAAATCAATGAAACTAAACTAGCTTAGTAATGAGCAAATTTATTTTAGTGATCCACAAATATAATTTAAAGAATGACAAAAATTCCCATACAGATTCTTCAGTTTAAATTGAATTTGACCATGAAGCAATAAATAATTAGGGGAACTTTTCGGTTAGGCGGGCACAAACAAAAAGTCGCCAAAAAATTTAGACCTATGCCAACTTTTACTAATTTTATTTATTTTTATAAACAAATAAATTAAATAAAATAAAAAAAAAACTTTAAAAACGTAGTTAAATTTCCTTGTGCCCAACTAGCCACTTTTGAAACCGCCAGATATTCATCATCAAGGCAATGAGAACTCTCGGAGCATCTCTCAATACTCCTCGTGTTTTTAACATGTAGAGTACTGAAGTTATTTTTAATGTTATCAGTCTAATAAAATCTAGGTCTTCAACTACATTGGGTTGCTAACAGTGTCCTCATGAAAATGTGTTTTTAATATGTTCACTCCAGATAGGTAACGGGTTTTTATGCTCTAAATCTAGACAATTTCCAGCAAACAAATAAACTTGGTTTTTCTTTCACATATAAAAAAAATTACAAAATTTAAAATTACTTCAAATATTTCATTAAATCAGAATACCGAACTCAAAAGAGATTCCTTTGAATCACACAATTACCCAGAGAATTAAGTTTTTTTTTTTTATCAATATTTCGTATTAAGACATAATATTAATCGATGTAATATCAAAAGCAAAAAAAACTTTTAATTAAAATTCTGAAAATAACATTTTGTGTTCGAAAGAACACACACTTAAAAAAAGTTCTTAGTAAAATAGCATACAAGCAGTACTTCATATATATTAAATGTTTCTACTAACTTAGCCATTAGTATCAACAAAACTTACTTATTAAATCATGCAAAACATCATAATCTGTTACATTTGGTGGAATGTTATACTTAGCATTGAGTATTCTAAGCTTAGCCGAATCCTCAAACGGATGTTCTCTGAAGCAAAGCAGAAATAAGATGCACCCTAGAGCCTAATCAGAAAAAATCTCTTGTATTATATTAACATTATGAAGTAAAAATAATAAGAATTTACAATTTAAGTATATAAATATAAAGCTATAAAAAAAATACAAGCTCCAAGAAAAAAAATTAAAGTTTAAATTTTTTAATATATAAATATATATTTTTTACTAAATATAAATAAATTTTTTAATATATGTAAAGAAGTACAAAGTAAGCAAAAAATAAAACAATTTTAAATGTTTTTCTATAGCATGCTATAATTCAACATTCATTTTTAATTATTTTTTCTGCATGATACTTAAATCAAGTTTTATTTTAGAACGTAACCTCAGTTTACCAAAATACTTGCACTGTCTTATTGGTTATTATAAAGACAGTTTTGGCAATCAATTTAATTTGCCTCAATTTTTTTTTCTGTTGAATTAGTTTTGATTTTTTATACTATTAACATAATTATCCATATGATTTCAAAATATATTAATTCAAAAAATAACAAGACAGATATGAAATTTATGAAATCTGTGGTCTTCATTCTATTAAAAAACAATAACACACTTGGACAGTTAAAACTGAGTTATGTAAAGATAATAAAAATTAATTTCATGCTAGTGCTTACTTTCTTTTTTTAAAACATTCTTGTTTTTAAAGATCATGCCAACCTATAATATTTCAGGTATTTTAAAAGAATTAATACCTTACTGCATGTAAAACTGAGCAATGTATAACAGAAACAGAATATAACTATGCATTTTTGTGAAGGCTTAAAGAACATGCAACAATTGATGTATAATTTTAATTTTCAAATTGTTTCCATTCCCGCACTACAATCCCGTACATAACATATGAGATGTAACAAGTGCTAATATCTACACAAAGTTAGATGGTAGAAACTTTTTAAAATTTTTCTCATATGTCTGAATAACATGAAAGTTATGTTGCAAGCCAATTTCTTAATTTTATTAAGTCTAGAGCTTAGTTATTATTTTTATATGTTAATGCATAAAGTTTATTCCCTTTGTGAATGTTGTAGCGGTACATGCCTCCTCAATGATTTGGAAAAAACTCTTCTCGCCATATAATTTTAATAACAAAAAAATTTTCAGGAATAATTATTGATTTAAAAATTTAAATTCAGTTAATTTAAAAAGATTAAGCAATTAAAAAAATCAATCCTTTATCAATATATTTTTTAATATCTGAAGAACAATTGTAATTGCGTTTTTTAATTTCACTTCTGCCAAATATTGGTTACCTATAGCACCCCTGGTTCGCTAGTAAAACAAACTGTTAGCATATTGGTACATTAAGAAGTGTTAATTTTTGGTGCACTAACAAGAAAAGAAATTGAAAACAAACTGAAGCTGTTTCTTTTCATAATAAAAAAAAAAAATATGAAAAAAAAATACTTTTACAATTTTTGACATTCTATTTCTTTTCAATACATTTAACTTAAAAAAAAGTTATAAAATATACACAACTCACCCACACATCCATAGCCTGATTAATTGGATAATTATTATAAGTATCAAGGATCTCAGGGGGTCTGTACATAGGGGTTGTATTTTTAGACATCTATAATAAAAAAGGAATGTATGTACTGTATGAAAAACACTCTTTTGTTTTAGTTCAATAAAACTAAAATAGAAAAAAACCATGTATGATTTACCTCATCCTCAACCAAACTGCGCTGAATAGCACTCCAAGTATTATCTGGATGGCATGATTTTGTAGTGGCACTTCCAAAATCACATAACTTTACTTTACCATCAGCACTCAAAAGTAAATTTTCAATCTAAAATTAATTTTAAATATCAACATATTAAAATATAAAGTGATCTTAATTATAAAATTCAGAAACTGAGTATATGTTAAAAAGCAATTCCCTAAATTAGGAATAATGTTATTTTTGTTGTACTTCACGACATGTTGAAACGATCTATTTTAATGACTATATCAAACTTGTTTTGTTGGCACTTATTTCATTTTATTCACAAAACATATGTAGTTTAATTTAACAATAAAGACAACAACAGTATTTAGATATGTAAATGCATTTGTGCTGGTAAAAAACTCTGTCATTCCAGTTATTTTGCTACTCTATTCTGACTCACAAAAGGATTTTTATGTATATATTTTATAAGTTAACTTGTAAAATAATGGTAATAATGTCAAATGAATCTTATCTCTTGTTTGCCACGCGTTCATAATAGATTGCTGGTTCTATAAAGATCATGAAGTGCAAGTCAATTTATAAAATAGTCGACTTGAAGAGTGATTTTTGTTCGATTACATTGGGAATGTTAGCAATTATGAACATTCCACAAAACAACTTGAATCAAATTAACTACTTATTCTTGCTGTCAATTCCAAGTTTAAGTCTCAATGACGTGTAAAGATTAGATTAAATTTTGGCAAAGAAATACGATATTCCTTGACAATTCCTAATTTTGTTTTCTTCACTCTAAATCAAATACTTTAACAAGTTTTCTCTCTGTTGAATGTTTAAATTTTACTGACTAACACTATATATATAATACGTAAGAAAAAACATAATTATAATACCAACAAAAATACAGTCGAGGCTTGATATAAAGAACACTGCAGTCCAAAGAAAAATGGACATTATAGCATGAGGTCACTATATAGTGAGTACAAAAAACTAGAGCAAATAATTAAACATAACTCATATATACTAGGCTTGAGCCGTGGTGGCTTAAGGGTTAGAGCGCTCGCTTTTTAATGAGGTGACCCAGGTTTGAATCCCACCGATGGTTAGTCGATACGAATTCCGCACCGGGCTCACACCTATCACAATGCTGACATAAAATATACTCAATGGTAGACAGATCATGGGTTAGAGTCCCCTTGCCGCTAGGCTAAATGCGGGAGGTTTGGCGGTTTTTCCTTTCCATGTAACACAAATGCGGGTTCGTTCCATCAAAAAGTCCTCCCCAAATCCAAATTTCTCCTAATACTTGATCAAGAAGTTTCCTTATCTTATGGATCAGGTTCAAAATTACAAGACTACAGAGTTGAAAATTAGTAGTCGTAAACTCAAAAATTGGGTTGAAATATCATACCAAAAAAAATAAAATAATAACAGGCCTATTTTGACAAAAACCACCCTCTTCTTTACCATAGATTACGCCTAGAAACACCTAAAATACAAATAAGTGGTCCTGGCACTCTTCTTCATTCACTGAGAATTTAAAAAGTTTCACATTTATTGACTGGCGACACCAAAAGAAATGGTAATTTGAATCATTTCCTTCAAACTTTTGTCAATACATGATTAAGAAAAGTATTAATGTTTTACAGTGATTTTCCTTAAATTAAAAAAAAAAGCAAAATTGTCTGCTATATTGGAATGAATGGTTTAAGTAGGATGTTTAAGTGGAGAATAAAATAGCAATGCACCTATGGAAACGAGACGGAATGAATAATTCGTTATAGCGGAAGGTTTGCAGCAATGGAAAGTCCTATTAAAGAGTGCAGACTTACATTTATTCAGATTCTTTGAAAATAAAATATTATAATATAAATTGACATTAATATTTATTTTAAATCTACAAACAATATAAACATATACCTTAAGATCCCTATGAATAATAGGTGGGGTTTGAGAATGCATCTGTTGAACAGCTGAACATGTTTGGTAAAATATTTGAACAACCTGTGCACATGATAGTGGACTTTGCCTAGCATTCAAAGCGTCGACTAATGGACCTCCTTTAAACATAATAGAATAAAATTAATAAAAAAAAATTGCATTTTTTTTTAAATAATATATTTTTGTAGTGAAAGTATACATAAGGTATAGAAATAAAAATATGTTGAAATAAGATTAACATACCTGTGCAAAGTTCTGTCAGTAATAAGTATTCTGTTTTACCATGTTCAGAGTGTTCTTTCTCAATCGATGCTGCAGCATTAAATTGAATGATATTGGGATGACCAGATAATTTTGTCTTTCAAAAGTAAAGGATTTAATAGAAGAGAGAAAATAAAATCTATATAATATAAAATTTATTTCGTTATAAAACCGATGAAATTTCTTTTCATGGGTTGGCAGTAACATAAAACAAATCAATTAATGATATTTCATTATTCCATATTTTAAGTTAAATTTTGTTATAAGTTTAGGGAGCAAGAAGGGGAGCTTCCTAATATAAAGAATGATCTATAAAAAAAAATCTATTCAAAATTTTATGCTTAAAGACAAAATTACTTCAAACTTTTATAATACAGTACAGAAGGTAACCGATTATCCGGAACGTTCGGGATTATCGCAATTCCGGATAACTGATTTTTCCGGTTCTCTGAATCGCTACAAAAAGCCGCTTATTTATTGCTAAACCCAACTAAAAAAATTTCTTTTCGGAAATAATCTTAAAAAGAAGAAAAAACGATGAAGGAATACACTAATGATTATTTCCAAAATGATGGTAAGGTAAACATCTTTCAAAAAAGAAAGAAAAATCCTAAAATCTTATGAGGAAAAAAAATATTTTTTTTTTTACAAATGACGGGAAAATTTATCGAATTTTGTTCCAATTTTTTGGTTTTCCGATTTCCGGATAACGGGTTCTGTACTGTATTAGTTTTATAATAACAATAATTATAAGACACTCTAATTATTGTTACACATAATAATTATAATTATTTATAATAATAATAACAATTTATAACAATTAACAATCTAGCACTTAATTATTCTAAAGTAAAAATAAATTATATGAGCCGCTCAGAAGCCAATGCGGTTAAATCCATTTTTTGATATTTTCTGATTTTTGGAAAATTTGATGAAATAAATAACAATTTTCTTAGTTATTAAAGGATTTACTCGTTGGTTACTTTTTTCTAGGTTAGACAGCCCTTTTTCTAATAGCTTCTGAATATATTGTATAATAATTTCAGAAGCCATTATTGTGTTGATGTGTAAAGTCCACCTTTTATCAATATTTTTTTACATAAACTTTGAAATAAAAATTAAATTCTTCTTCTTCTTTTGATATTTGTTGGTAACACTGAAAAACAAGAAATTCATAGTAACTCAGGGTTAAAAAATATAACTCAACCTATATTATATCCTAATGGCAGAACAGTTTCAAGAGAAACAAAAAAAAAGACATCATGTGTTTATTAAAGTATATACCTCCAATTAAACACGACTTTTACAGGACATTAAGGACAACACGTGGAGATCAAGATTTACATTTAAATAACTCAGAAGAAGATGATGTTTGTTATGATGAATAAACATAAAACTTATGACAATAAATGTTATTTTATTATTTTTACATAAATTTCTTATCTTTTTCAGCTGCCAAAAGGTATAAGTCCTAAAATTTTTAAGATGCTGTCATTATTTCAATAAATACTTACGTTTTTATTTACACATCCTGTACATATCTCGTTTTTTTGCAGAGTTTACACCTCGAAAAAAGACTTTATACACTTTTCTAATTAAATTAATAAACCAAGAATTTTAAAAACTAATGTATCAAAAAACATTAATTTTCTCAATTTTTGTGTTTTGGACTTAACCGCATTGGCTTCTGAGCGACTCATTATATCATTGGAATATTGTTATTTAAAATATAAATACAATTTTATTTTTAATGAGATGACAGAATTTTAAACTATCACTTTCAAATACCTTAAAAAAGGGGCTTTAACTGAGTTTCGTTATAATAAAATAAAAGTCAATAGATTTGTCATAATGAAAACACCTCATTTAAACTTAAAAGAATACACCCAACAAATTATGTTGAAAAGTTTAAAAATAAGAGAAAAAAAATCCGAAAACATTTTATCTTTTTGTAGTTATTTTTATAAAATTCGTTTTATGCATTGCCACATTTTTAAAATACAGTGAAATCTTTCAAAACACCCATACAATAACCATTCTTAAAAAAAGAAAATAAAAGTTACATAAATGTATCGTTCTTTATTAATAAAAGAAACCAACAAAAATAAGAACATACACTTCTATAAATGCTAGCATTAAAAATTTTTAACATTAGTACTGGAATTCGACAGGTTACATAAAGTAATGAATGGTTCCAACTTTTTCTCATTTCTGAAGGTTATAAATCTTGTAACAATAAACTTCTATCTTCATTTTAAGCTAGAAAAGCAAAACATTCGGTTGTGGGCGGGGGTGGTAAATCCACTACAATTTTGTAACCAACCGTAACAATGTGGTAATATAATCTGCATAGAAAATAAGCCTTTTTTTCCAATATCGCTGGTGCCCATCCACATGAAGTTGAATGGACTTCAAATTGAATCTGAGGATCAAACCTCAGACCTTCACAACAACAGCTAAGTCCTTCAACCACTGAGGAATTGGCATTTTTTTTTAACCACAATTTACTAATTAAAAAAATAGCAACCTTCTCGCAAAAAAGATCCAAATGTAACTGAATGTCACTATGAAATGTATGCTACTTTAAGTTTCAATCCTGATTAAATTCGACTATAATTTTGGTTTCCTTAAATTTTTATTTATATAATTTACTTCATAACTCAACCTTCCCATTTCACTAACTTTTGGCTTCTGTTTTTTATTGAACACCTTCACAAGAACTTCACTTGGTCTATCAATTTTTATTCCAAGGATACTCTGGTAATAGAAAACAAAAAATACTTAATTTATTAATTAGAAATAATTATTAAAGTAATATCACAAATGTTAACTATAATTGTACAAAAATAAAGGATACTAAAAATCTAATCTCTCGAAGTATACTTTTATTAGCATCACTATCACCAGCTAAAAGCCTCTGAAATAAAAATAAATAGTTATAATTAAAAAATAACTAATGCTGATAAATGTATCCTACAAATGCTATTGTCATTGTGACAAATCCTATCATGGAATGTATGATACATACCAGCCTAAACAGGTCTTTAATATAAAATTCGTTACACTGAGTTATTTTTTTATAAGTAGGGCCAGGTTATAATTAATATAAATTATTATAATTAATATAAATTATTTCTTTTAACCATTTAATATTAATCATCAAAAGATTGTTATGAATAACAATCAACTGCATGAATTTTTCTTACTAATCATTAGACGTGAGCATTTTGTCAAATAATTGATAAACAACCTTAGTAAAATTAAATAAATTTAATTTAATAATTAATTTATGAGATAAATTGTTTTGGCATGAATAATTAGTCATTATGCATACTCAACAATTAATCACAGTAACATACATAAAATGAAAAATATATAGTATTAACTTGGGATCCGTGCAGCCCATGGCCATTAAAATCTTAGCAGAAATAAAAAAAGTTCTAATGACACTTGGACAAGCAGCATTAGAAACATTGATAGATAGCAGTATCATTCATTCGTGAAGCCACTTCCTTAATTTAGACATAGATCTAAAGAGGAGGAAATTTTCTCCAGGTCCCCGTACACATGGTGCTTCATCAACCGAACACATGACTTTTTGATTCTACGGATTTTACGATCGCGTACAGGGTATCTGCTACATTTTAGATTTTCAAATTCATGACTTTCCATGACTAATTCCACGAACTTTTCATGACTTAACTATTTTCTCTGACAAAAACAGAATAATAAATTTAAAAAGCATTATAATAACGTTAATTAAAATGATAGGTATAAACCAAAACTGTTATACCCTGCATCTTCATATTTATTGATTTTAGATTCAAAAAACAGAGTAAAGAAAGAGTTGAAGCAATAAAATAGCTGAGCAAATAATTTTTTTTCTTCTGCAGAATTATATTCTAAAGATGCTTTTCTTGTTTATCAGAAAGGAAAGAAATACTCCTCATTTTTTTGTTCTCATTTCGAAATAAAAAAATTTGCCAATGACTGGCTTGCTTTAGTTAGAATTTTAAATTGATAAAATAAATAAAAAAATAAAAATTATAATAATAATTCTGAAATCACAGAAGTTTAAGAGATACTTCGCTCTAGAAATGATATTTTTTCTTTCATTTTTTGAAAAAAACACCATAATTTAAAAAGAACATGATAAAACTTTTTATATTTTAATAAAATATGACTCTGAGTGGGGATTTTGTTACAAATTCAGATAATCGGAACACCATAAAATTGGGGGGAGGGAGAGAACTCCACTTGAAAAATAAAAAATTTTAGCGACCTAAATCCATGACTTCCCATGATTTTTTTTTTTTTTTAAATAGTTAAAATCATGACATTTCATGACAAATTTTGTTCAATACCGAAATTCATGACTTCCCATGATTTTTCATGACTTTCCAGGTGCGCGGATACCCTGCACGTTTAATGCACATACTTTTCAAGGATTGAACCCTGGCCTCTTCAAACCAGTTCTCTAATCACTGAGCTACCACAGACAGCAGAGAAAAATAATAAACACTACCTTTGAAAATGAAACTTATTGACATCTAAAAATTTTAATCATACAAATAAAGAAAAAAAAACAGATAAAAATTCAATTTATTTACCATTAATCTCCTATTTCTACTACTTGATTATGATAAATATTACACTTAATTTACAATAAAGCAAACTGTACTATTTTAAATTTACAGCTTATGAGAGACAAAACGCAATCAGTAAAACAGAGTGTGTTTTGAGAAGAAAAGGATGAGGTTAAATAGAGTGCAGCAAGATCATAAAATGTAAGGTTTTCTGAAATAATGAGTATTTTTGCTTTGGTTTGTTAAAAAAAATTTCCTTTTTTATTGTTTTTTAGATTTTAAATTACTTAAAATTACAATTGAAATTTTTTGATAAAAACTGTATAAAGAAAGACAATTAACTTGGACGTATTTATGAAACAATACAAGCGAACCTACATATATAATGACAAAAAAGAAATAAGAGGAAAGGAAGAAAATTTAAAAATAAATAAAAAAACTTAACCTATAAACCTACGAACGAATACTTATTTAATTTTGTAAATTTTTAAAAACATAAAACATTTTTAACTCAGTAATACAATAAAAAATATCATCAGAACCATAATACTAATAGATAAAAACATCATAGAATGCTTGCCAATAAAGTGTGTTGATATAGTTAGCTAAATAACAATAAATTAATATCATTATTTCTGGATGATAAAGATCATTAAAATATAAATTATAAGTTAAGAAACGTTGTAATTTGAATTTAAAAGTAACAAATTGAGGTAAGTCACTTACTTTCAGAGCATATTCTTTGCCAGTAGATATGTCTTGTGCAACAAAGACAAAACCAAATCCTCCTAAATTTAGAAAGCTCATTTATTATTAAATGTTCTATATAACCCACAATACATTAAGAAGATTTTTTTGCTAAAAAATATTTCAAAAGTCATCTTCTTAAATGTATGAATATTTCATATACTTGAAAACCTGGCAGGGTTAACCAGGAAAATAATAACCATCTAATAATCCCCTCCCCCCAAAAAAAGGAACTCGTGATTGTAAAAGTATATTTTGACCAAGTTTTTTGAATAAATTATGTAAAAGAAAACCATGAATTTAGATAAACAAAATAAGTTAAAATTGATGAATAAACACAAAAGTATAATTATCAGAACTCACAGTAATGGGAAATCAGAACACTAAATAAATGTTTTTCAATAAAACTATAATTAAAGAATAATAATAATTATTTAATAATAATTTTATGATGTTTATAATTTAAGAATGACATAAATTTTTAATGACTAATGAATTTTATTTACATAACTTTTTATAAAATTCAATATTACTTATTTATTGTTATTTATTGCTTATTTATTGTTGACCAGGTTATTTGTTTGGAATCCAATTTGATTTTAACTAAAATACAGATGCGCTGCCACCATGTTTTCCATCCAAGATAAAGATTACAATTTATAAAAACAGAAATTACATATCATATCGCTGGTTTAAAACTAAAACGACACATCTGCAAGCATAATATGTTTGCAGATGTGTCGTTTTAGTTTTGAACCAGCAATACGTGTTTTAGAGTTGTAATGGTATAATTGTTGTTGATAGGCATTTAGTAGCTGAAGTTACAACAATATTTTAATTTTAAAAAAATCCCATAATCTAATTTATAAATAAATGCAAAAAAATTAAGTTATTATAAATGCAGTTATTTAAAAATTTACAATAAAACATACAAAAAAATATTATGTAAAAAAACTGTAAATGTTTTCTTTTTTTGAAGAAGAAGAAAAGAAAAAAAGAGAATTTTCAAAACCTTAGAATAGTCACTAATTTTTTAGGTCAAAGTTTAATTTTTAAAATTATTACAAGAAAAAAATTTTTTTTAAACAAAAAATAATTAATTACAATATACAGAACTGATTACAACAATCAAGAGAAATGTACATAGCCCTGATTTAAAGAAATTTAATTTTTTCAATCTTTACTAGCCTGGACAAAAAGAAAAAACTTTCAAAAAAATATGCTGTGTACAACAAAGAACAATGTAAAGTTAATATGATTTTATAATGTCTTAAAATCTTATTAATAGGAATCACCCAAGGACATAATTTATTTGAAGAAATTGGAAATTTTCTAACAATTTAAAGTTCAATTTTAAAATCAAATCTATATTTGTATAGATTAAAGTTAGGTAATATTACAATTATAATAGACTTGAACAATCAGAAAATTGCAAATAAAAATTGACAAAATTTGTTAGTTTTATATCGGTCAAAATTAACTTGAGAGAAAAATAAACATACATATCAAGAAACAGTTTGAAATTAGTTCCTGGATCAATTATGTGAGCAGTTCAAATGACATTTAATAATTGAAAACGACTTCAAAAGAAAGAACTAAAGGGGTTTTGTACAGCAAATAAGCTTGCTGTTTTTGTAATAAGTGCATTCAATACTGAAAAAAAAAATATATATATGTGAAATAATTGCTTTTACTAGTGCAATGTCATTACAACCCAATAAATAAAAATTTCTAAATGTATTAATAGAAAGAAAGCCCAATTTCAACTTGTCCTAAATTAAATACTTATTCCTTAATACAAATTTCTAAACTTTATATAACTTAATTAAAACATGATTATAATATAGTACATAGATTCGTTTGTTGACATGCCCTTTTTCCAGGCCAATGTGATAGAAAAATAGTTTTACCTCAATGTTAATAAAATTTATACAGAAAGCAAAAATAAAAACTTCACTTTATTAAGTAAATAAGCTAAAATTTCATTTCATTTGAGGGCGTCTCACCTTCTGCTATTACTTTCTTCACTCTTAGTTTCTGTTTTTCAAGTTCAACAATTTGACCAACAAAAGCGTGTTCCTCTCGAGGCACATTGCTAGAGAAGTACCCTAATGCTGATTTAAATAGATCGGACATACTGTTCGATTTGTATACTTCATGAAAATAATTTATTGAAGAAATCAACGAAATTAATCATTTTGTTCCAGAAAAAACAACAGCTTTTAGCAAAGGTAAACAGCCATCAGTGTCTACAGTTGAACTGGGTGCAGAAGCAGAAACCTGGGAACTCCCCACCCTTCCCTTTCCAAGTCATGGTGAATAAAAAAAAAATTATAATAATTCAGAAACTTTCAGAGATTCTACTGAATTTAGAAGAAATTTTAAATTACAAAATTTCGGAAAAAATGAAGACATGAAAAAAATAAAGAAACTTTATTCTTAAATCAAGAATCAATAACCAGAATCAAAACTACTCAACTTTACTGCGCAATAATAACAAAAAGCGCTGTTTTATGTTTTTTAAAAATAAATTGTTATTTACCGCGCATATATCAGTAATATTAAATGGTTTCATGTCTATTTTTTGATATTATATACTTGATAATTTCATATGACTGAACCAAAAGTGCGACTTCATGTGCAAGAGTTGATGAAAACACTTAGGTATGCATTTAAATAAATTGCAAAAAATAGTAGATTTCTGTAAAGGAGACAAATACAAAATAGATTTTTATTTAAGAAAGAATTTTTTTTATTTTATGCTTAAAAATATAGATTGGCGTAGATCACGATACGGAAATCGTCCCGATTAAAATTATATTTCTCTCATTTCCTCTTCATTTGTGCTTGCATATAACTGTTATTACTATCCAAAGTAGGTTAAAGAGTTATTATTAGTAGTGAATGTTCACTTGACAATTGCGTAGATCAAAATTTCGAAAGAAAAGCTATAGTTGAATTAATTAAAAATTTTATTTATTCCTAAATGCAAGGAAATTACAAAAACTCTAAATTCAATTAATTAGAATAACCTTAACTTAGTCAATGGGCAGGTTTTTGTTTTATTTGATTCACTTACTTAATTTGTATACATTTATAGTCTATTAATCGTTTAAGATTTTTTAAGCATTTATCATCTATATTTATCTGAATATCATGAATTATACGCAATCTGGGAAATACGGATGACATACCACCAGTAGTGCACCTAAGTGTTCTATCTTATTAAATATATGTATATATTGATAGAGTTCTGTGCGTTGAGGTTATTTTTGTAGCTTTAAAAGTTTAACTTGTAACATTTTTTAAAAATATGTTGTGGTTTGCTGGTTTGAGTGTTACCTATACCTTTCTAGTTGGTCCTTTTCTGTGATTTTTTTTTCTTTTGTAGTTTGGGGCAGGCCACTGGCCAGAAGTTGACAAAATTTGGTGATTATTATTTGCGAAGATATCAATATGGAACTCATCTCGAATTATGAATATTTTCTGTTAAAGAAAAATATTTCTATTCATAATAAAATTTAAGTATCAATACCTACTCCAAGCAAGCCACTATTTTGATACTGTGGGGAAGAAAAAGAAACTAAAATAAAAAATTCAGATGGGAGAAACTTAAAAGGGGCGACTCGTTAATCTGTAAATTTTACTTTTTAATTTTTTACAAATCAAAGCAAACTATGGAGCAATATTAGCTAGTGGTGGCACATACAGGTAAGTACCTACTGATTCGAAAATATCTACATCATTACCACTAATACAGTGATGCCAACTTTCTCTGCTTTGTGGGCAAATTTTTTCTGGTGCTAGCACAATTTATGATTTAATGTATAGTTCTTCGTTTAGTAAAATTGATTAAAATTTATTTCCTCTTCTACTTTCTATAAATAATTCAAAATGCTACATAAAATGTCACTTTTTTTCCAGTTATTTGGTGGTGACCCTATTAATTGCAAAAGGTGCCAAATTTGAACAGGTTTTAGTTAATAATTTTCTTTTTCTTATTGAAAAATTCTGCTAAAATCAAAGCAGTTGACATTTGTGCTAATGTAGAGCTAATTTAGAATATTAATAATAAAATATAATATTATTGGGTTTTAAAATTTATTATTTTGCAATACTCATTAAACACAGTGATTACATATATTTTATTGAAATGTATCTCCTAATCAGTCTTTTATAAAAATACCTTAGTCAAAATTGTAATCCTTATTTTGTTATTCTTGCTGAGTTAATTTGGTTAGCTTTTCATTATAAATTCAACATCAGTAGCTCTTTTAACTAAAAAATTTTAGATAGTGTTTTAGAATTCTGTGATCAGTCTCAAATGAAACTATATTTGCCTAAACAAGCTATAGCTGATTATGAAAATACAGTGTATGAGGTCTATACCCCTGTGGCAGAATTCTTTCGGGCTTTCTGCAACAAAACTTTCTAGCACTAATATCTTTGTGCGAGGTACTTTCAGTAATAAAAAACAGATATGTTACTAATTTAAAGTAATAAAAACGCTCTGTTGACCGCCAAAAAAAATCATTACTTTCATTAAATATGTAATATTTTTTTATTCTAATATTATGGACGATATTCTCGCATTTTGTTGGGGTGAAACACGTACTAATTATTTCCTTTATCGCATTTTTAAATCATTATCACATTAAAAAAATATAATTAAAAATCATGAAACCCATAGCAGTAAATACCCCAAAACAGATCGACATCGAAATCACACGAATTGGTTACTCAAAAGGTTACTAAAATGTGCTTTTCGTTTCAAAATTTAATTGTTGCATTAAATAATATCGGATTTTAAAAACTATGTGGAAATCAATAGCAATAATTGCCAGAAAAAAGCGATAGAATCATTGCCGTAAAAAGAAAATACTTGAATCCTCGATTCGAATTTCCGATATCATCTGAAATATATCAAGATAATTAAAAACCATGTGAAAATCAATTAATGCCAAAAATACAATCGGAACACTACATGGTTTCACAATACTATCGGTACAAATTCAACGGGACAAAAAGTGATCATTTAAGTGTGCAATTCAAATTTTACAAGCAAATTTCTGCAGAAAAGAAAGATCAAAATTTTTTCTTCCCAAAGGAAAAATATTTCTGCAGGAACTCTTTAACATTCTGCGACAATGTCGCCATGTAGCCGCGATTCTGCCACAGGGGTCTATACATGTATTGATCTAAGAGTTACCTTAATTATCTTGATGGGATTCAAAATTACAAGGCTGCGGAGTTGAACATTAAAAGTAGTAAACTCATAAATTAGTTCGGCTGTTAAGCCACGATTATAAAATAATATTCTAACTCCATTTTATTGTAATTCTGAAATAAAATTAAGTTTTAAAATGATTTTATTGAATGTATTCATTGACTGTATTGAATGAAAGTATATATATATATATGCATGTGAATGTAAATAAATATAATATATTATATTTTTTGCATACTTCTATAGATGTAATGAAAAACAGAGTGAAAATGCATCATGTGACATGTATGTTGAAGCTTTACTGAAGAAAAATATACACCCCTCTACTATAAAAGTAAAATATCATTTATTTTCTTCATATTTTACTAAGGACATGAAAGTTTACTTCACTTGTAATCTAGTAATTTATTTGTAATCTGTGCAATGAATCATTAAGCATGTTATTTTTATGGGAAATTCATTTTAGGTGACCAGTTTTTAAATCTATTAATTCAATTGCTCTCTTTCCTTGATATTTACTTCTGTTTTTTTACACTTGCATGCAGAGATGTAAGATTCTTATTATATATTTATTTACACAGAGCATCTAAAAATTTTTATCCATATTTTGAAATTATTTTTTGTAAATGTAAGTGGATTTCATCCTATAATAAAAAATTTATTATTTTCAACATAATATTCTTATTAATTTTAATAATAGTTATTTTTAATGACCTTAGAACTTCATTCATTGTTACGTAAATTTGTTTAAGAATCACATTTTATTCTTCATATAATATTTTACTACAACTAAATATTTATCATTTAAAAAATGATATATAAAAAAATACATTCCTTATAAAATTTAAAAAGACTAGGTGTTCATTCTAGGTGCAGCAGGGCAGGTGATCCAGTTTGTCTTTTGAATGAAAAAATTTCTACCCTGCATGCCTTTGAATTACATATATATATTGAGAAAAAAAATGATTTATTTGCACCATGTTCAATTTTATTTCTTCAGACATTTCCACACGGTTTTTCAAATTCCGATATGTTTAATATGCTATTACGACCTTCGATTTTTAGCTATCACTTTTTAAAGCATTTTATTAGATGCTATCGTAGTTTCTTGCTGTTTGATAATATTTTTTTGTAAATTGTTAACATTTTCAGATCTTTCCACATGATTTTTACAAATTTTGATATACTACAATGTTATTACGACTTTCAAATTTGATTTTTAACTTTTTGATGTGTTTTATTTGAAACAGTTCCATCTTCACTTTGTTGGATGATGGTCTTTTTGGTGGTTATTATTTTTATTTTTTTCGGAACTCAGATTAAACTCTGAAAACATTATTCCAACTCATGAATTTAATATTGGAGTTACGTGTTTCATTTAACAAAATTGCCTCGCAATTTCACATTGTTTGATAATAGTTTTTTATAGCTATTTGTCTTTTTTGGCTCCCATCACATCCTTTGTAAAATCCCGATATTGTTAATACATTATTATTACGACACGTAACATTTCAAAATTCGAGATTACAATCAGTAGCTTGATTATTTATTGATTTTTATACCATAAGACTCTCAAACCAAATTGCTTTAAAGTTCAAAAAAGCTTTAAAATTACAATTATACTATTTAAAGATGAGTTGTGTTTTTCTTTCAATAAAGCGAATTTATGCACCAAAAATTACTTTGAAAGATATCTCAATTTTTTTAAAATCAAACCTGATTATCTCCCTATAATTGTTCCTCTTTCATAGAATGTCATTCTGTTTCTCTCTTCTTTACCACTTTTAAGATCTGCCATGAAAGAAATGAGTTGTCTCTTGAATGAAAATAACAACAGAAAAAAAATGCAACGAAATAAAAGAGGCAGTCAAAATCGGAAATGAATAAATTTAAGCATAAAAAATATTTGATAATTTGAAAGAATTTATATTATATCAAGACAATTTATTTCATATGATTTAAATTATATGAATGATTTCATGAAAATGTATTTTACAGTTAAAAAATATAAGTTTTTATTTTTTTTTTAAATTTCTGATTTTTTTATTCAGGCACTGTCAATGTCAACTATTAATAAATTAGCTGAGTCGTCTCAAGAACCTGACAGATTTCTTCAAATGTATGAAGATATGAAGCTCAAACAGTATGTTTTCGAATCTTTTTTTCATTTTGTACATTCGTGAATAGAATTGTGTTATTGATATTTTTACCTTATTTTTATTCTTGAATAGAATTGTGTTTTTGTGTTCAAGACCTAAAATGATGCTCATTAGAACATAATACATAATTTATTTTATAATCCGCTTTAAACAGCCAACCCAATACTGAATTTACGACTACCAATGTTTAACTCCGTAGACTTGTAATTTTGAACCCAATCCAGAAGACAAGGAAACTCCTGGCTCAATTATAATGAGAAATTTGCCTTTGTGAGGGACTTTTTAATGGAACTAACCCGCATTAGCGTTAGATGGAGAAGAAAACCGTGAAAACATTAGCCTAACGGCAAGGAAACACTAACCCATGATGCTAGACTGCCCCGGAGTACTTCATTGACTTTTAGTTAGTACACTGCGCATTACAAAGCTGCTTGTAGGCAATTTTCTAATTTTGATATCGCTGTTATATATTTTTCTCTCTTCATTAAATTTGTTAAGTTAAATAGTTAATTATTATCTTTTTTCCTCCCTTACCGCACAAATCATTACATATATATATTAATATGTAATTAAAGTCGAATTTATACTTTTGAGCAGAAAAAAAAAGTTATGTTTTATCTTTCTATTTTTTTAATTATTTTACTTCGTGTTAGTTTTCTCATATTAAGGATTTTTAAAATTGACTAGTTAAGTATTTACATAGTGCAATTATTATTGTAGTTTACATATTATTAAAATGGAACTATTCTATTTCATTGTTTTGATTTACAAGGTTATTTTATTTATTTATTTTAAGTCTTCAACAAAATTGCATTAAATCCAAATTATATCATTGGATTAATTTATAATCAGAATTGAAAAATTAGCAACAGTATCCTATTATAAAAGTTACAAAAGATTCTGATAAATCAGGATTTTAGGAATTTTAAATTTTGAATTTAAAGTATCATTTTTACCTTATTTTTATTACAAGGAAATACTTACATTAGTAATTATTAAAGAACATGTTTTTTTTTATTTATTTATTTATTTTGGTAACTGAAATGTCTTTTCTAAAGCAGTTTTAACCCTATATGGCTTCCATAGATTTCTATGATAAAAGTTTTTTTTTTTAAATGTGTTTTAATATGTAAAAGAAATATATTGCCTTAATATTTTGTCTTAAGCATCAAGTATGAATAATATTTATACCCATTTATAATTAAAATTTATGCTTTTGACGTAGGTAATCACTGTTTCATTGTTAAAACCATGTGAAAAACATATGAATCCTGTTTATGAATAATATCTATGAATTTTAAAAGTGATTTTGCTTTTACTAATGTTCACCCTTTTTTCTCCTTTTTGTAGTACTCAAGGTTTAGATTCAGCTGTATGCTTACTATCAAAAGTTCAGAATAGTGGAGAGGTAAATATCTTAATTTTACTAAAAGTGTTTTATAAATAATATTGAATCTCAGAATCAAATTTTAATTCTAATGCCTACAGAAACTTTTAGATTTTCTGTATTTTTCAGTTGATGTCAACTTTTTTAATGCTATGAAATTTTGAAAATCGGCTTATATGTCAAAACACATTTGAACACAATGATTTTTTACAAAATATGATGCTTAGCATAAAAGAGAATTAATTAAACTTTGTGATAAATTGAAGTTTGAGAAAATTAAAAAAATAGCAATCATTTTAGTTCCTAAGTTTTTCATTTATTCAGGCATAACATCAGAAATTTATCTGAATCAGAGCATCAGGAGATTGAATATTATTTGAGGGTGAAAGAGCGAAACTTTAGTCACTTTCAAAGTGCTTCGTATTATTTTGTTTTAATTACATCTCTAAGAAAGATTGGGGTTTGCAAAATTTTGATTTATTTGTTAAAAGTTATTTTTTGTGTTTAATTGATATCTGCGAAGAAAAAAAAATTTGGCAAGTGTTAATTCGAAATTTAAATTATTTACTGAAGACACAAAAAATCTGTCATTTTGAATTTAAGATGAGAGAGTTGACTTATAAAATGTTTCGACCTATACAACAAAAATGTAGCATTCTGAAAGAGTCCAGAAAACAATTGTGGTTTGAGAGAATGGTAAGGAGGTCAGGTGATTATAACCACCATCTGCTCAGTCTAAATTGTGCATGCAATGTTGTCTTTGGAATAGCAAGAAGGATGACTCCCAAGATTGTCACTAAGACTGCATTACAGTATAATAATAAATTTCAATAAAATCATCATCAAATAAATTTTTTAAAATTATTATTAATTTGAATATTCAAAAAAATAATCGCATGCTAGCAGTCGCATAATATTAATTGCCTGAGAGTTGGTTTGAGCTTTTTCTAAACTTTAAACTGTTAAGTTCCAAGTTTTTCACAATTTTCCCAGGGGGGGGCTTAGTTGTGTTTTGCTTTCAATTTGGAAATGGAAAGTGTCACTGCTTATCAAGAATAACTGTATTTAAACAAATACGATTTATTCAGAAAAGCCTAGGCTAACAAAATATCGATAGGTCATAACTAACATTAAAAAATAGGCAAGTGAAATCTTTGTATACATTTATATAATATATTTATAAGTATTGCAGTCTGACTGAGCTAGAAAATCAAAGCATGCATAGACCCGGGTGAAACACTACAATCTTTATTTAATCTTTACACGTTGAAAAATCAAAATCACACTAATATTACTATGCCTATCTTAAATAAGGGTTTTAAAAGTGAAAATCTTACAAGCAATCCTCATCACATGTCTTACAAAGAATAATATAATAATTATGCTAGGCTAGAATACTTTTTCGCTAGATTTCATGTTTCCTTAAAGAAAAAACTTACTAAATGTAGAACCTAAATGTCGGATGTGAATTGCTAATTATGTTAAAGGGTTTTGTTCTGATTAATGAACGAGAATGCAGAGAAAGCAAATAATGCAGAAAATTTGTTAAAGCTTTATATACATATTTTTTGTAATATAATAATGCAATTTTGCATGTAAAAGTATATGGATGTTATTTTTCTTATTGGTTGGCATGTTTAGTCAAAATAAGCAAATTTTAACATTTAAACTTAAACTATGAAATTGTAACATAGCTACCTCTACAACTATTAAATTTCGATTCACTAGTATATAAGACAGACATGTTAACTCGATTCTGTCTTGAGGTACCTATGGATAGGTGAAGGTTGACATCGTTGGCAGCCCAGCCTCACCTCACGTGGGTGTCACGCGAACGTGATCTGAACACGCTTACCTCGATTGAAACTCCTACTTTGACTTGAACATGTGATTTGTTCCATGAATGATTCACTGTGAACAGTTGACTTACTATTTATGGCTGCAACATTGCCCTCTACACGCTATTACTACTCAGTCTCAATCACACAAAACGGGGGCCTGTACACACTCAACTGCTATCTGCAATGCAAAAGCAACCACACCCACAACAGTGTTCCTAATACAACCCTCACGACCAGCAATCAAAGCTTGGTGGTCTTAATACAGCTCTCACAGCCTCTTGCAACACAGCAATGAATGAACAAGTAATATCCATTCGTCGAATTCTGTCACAGATAAAACTCTGGTGGGGGAGAAATGTAGCATAGCTACCACTACATTTATTGTATTCCAATTCACTAGTATATAAGATCTGTTAACCCGATTCTATCTTGAAGTACCTTATAATTGGTGAAGGTTGACATTGTCGGAATCCCACACCTCAAAATAAATCTTATTTCTTATGTTTAATTATATTTTAAGTAAATGTAACCTATATTAAAGCTCCTCTTAAGTAGACTTAATCAAAAGTAGGCTTCTGACAATGATTACATAATCTGAAATGTATATTTAAAATTTTCCTTCTTTAGGTAAAAAGTTTTCTCAAACGAGATGCTGTTAATAAAACTAATGGAAGCATCTCCCACCTGTCTGAAAAATCAAGTTTTAATGAGAAGTCAAATCTTAGCAATGGAAATATCTCTTATAAAGAAAACCATGTGGTAATTTGCTCTATTGTAATTTTAACTATTATTGTCATTCTATTTAATAATAAATCTTTCCACTAAAAATATAGATTTAAAATTGAAAAAAACATGCTTTTTAACTAAATTTCTAAAAAATTTAAACATTCCAGAAAAGCTTTAAGCTTAGGTTTTTATTTCCTTTAATAGAAAAATTATTTTAGCTACTTATTATTTAAATCTTTAAAATCTTCAACTATTTTTTTATTATAAATGTCTTGTATGTGGGAATGATGAACAATTGAAGACAAGGCTACTAATTTTGTCTGAAAAATCTTCTATTCTACATTAGTCTTATGTCTTCTATTCTATATAATTTTACCACATTTTCTATTTAGCATCCAAAATTTGACAATTGAAAAACAAAACACTTTTTTTTATTTTGAATGGACAGTTTTATATTGAATTAGTGTGCTTACAAAGTGTTATCATTATCATTTACGTGAAGAAGAAAAATAGAAAAGTAATCAAGTACTGAGAATTCGATATGGAAGAAATAGTACTGAAAAAGTAACTTTCAGATTGTTGTAAAGAACAGAAAAGAGTTATCCAATTTTCTTTGAATAGTCAAATTGGTTTTGATGTTTTTCATCCATTTTTCTTCTTTGGGGACTCGACTGATTTCAATTGTATTTTTGTTTCTTGTCACCTTATGTATTAATTTGCGACATTTGATATGCATATTTTTCCCCCCTTTTTTATAAGGATTCCAAAAATGCATATAAGGACGATCAATAGAGTACTGTGCAATGTTTTATATTGAATTAGAAGGGAGAGGTAGTGTTTCTTTGATGCTTTAATTACTTTACTTTTTCAAAAAAAATAATGAATTATGTAACTTTTTTTTTATTAAGTTCAGGTACATTGTATTTTATGCACCCTTACTTTAACAGTTGATCTTAAATGAACTTAATGATAAAAAGTTATGTTTAAAAAGCATAAAATATCTTCATTGAAGTATTCTTGCTCAAAGCAGTCCTTCCAGGAATATGAGTACATTTGTAGAATAGAATTATTTTTAAATTGAATCACGCATAATTGGTATTTGATAATTTGTAATTTAAATAATGTTTAAATACTTTTCAAATATGAGAATGTCTTTCTTTAGAACCTGAAACAAATTTTGGGTAACAGTTTTACCTCTTCTAATAAGATCACCTTAGAAAAAAGAAAAGGTATGAGAGCTTTGTTTGACTTATTTGATAAAATTGTTTTAGTGCAAAAGTAAATTGTTTCCCTCCTTTAATTTATAGTTCCTCCTGGAATACATCCACTATCTAAGTCTCTAAGAGACAGAGTTCACTTAAGTTGGGATTTTGTAGAGGACTCAGGATCAGATTTTATAGTAGTAAGTAATTTTAAATATATATATCAATTTCATTTGAAATTAAATTTGTAATTCTAAATTTTATAGTTTGATGTGTTTAATTTATTATGTAGTCCTGTTTTTAATGTAATATTTTGTAACTGTATGCTTATGCTCACCTCTTTATTAACTCATATATATATCTATATATATATATATATATACACCCAGAAGCAGAAAGTGCCTAAAACTGTGGCGTACGTCGCAGAACAAAGGAAGTCCTACAGAACAATTTGTATCTTGATTAAGTGACAGCGTTTTTAAAAGACCAAATGCTTTAGATGGAGATGAAGAAGTTGTTGGAACAACAGACCAGCGAATGTTTATGTTTGCAAATGGTGCACCATTGAGGCACTTATCCCCGCGATAGATTTTTAGCCCTTATTTTAATGTTCAAACCTTTATATATCATAGGCATTTTATTAATAATTCATCATCGTCATTAACAAAATTTTGTACTTCAAAAGTGATTGAAAGAGTAACAAATCAAGAATATTTGCCTTGGTTTAAGAAATAATGTAGTGTTTTTGTGTATGATCCTGTATTTTAATAAATTAAAATATATTATTTTGACGTAAAGTTGACTTTTTCCCTGTGACATGCTTGCAGAACATTTGAAAATATTCTGCTTATGGGTGTGTGNTACAGTGTAAAGTCGCGTATCCGGAATCGGTGGGACTTCCAGAAGTCCGTATAATAGATTTTTCCGTATAATTGACCCCCAAGGTAAACAAAGCTTAAAATGATCTAATAAACAATCTGAATCTAAGAAGCAAAACATAAATAAACATTATTTTTAAGGGGAATAATGTTTTAGTATTAGAATATCTAATCAATCAAACATAAAATATGTATTAGAAAAAAAAATATTATTGCTAAAAATATAGAAAATGAAAAAATTTGACAGTTATGAAAATATTAATCCGCCATTTTGAACAAGAACGATTCAAGCAGGAAGGGGTAATTCACTTCATTCTGGAACAAAGCTTAAAATGATCTAAATCTAAGAAGCAAAAATAAATAAACATTATTTTTAAGGGGAATAATGTTCTAGTATTAGATTATCCAATCAATCAAATATGAAATATTAGGGAAAAAAATTATTGCTTGAAATGTAGAAAACGAAAAAAAAAATTGACAGTTATGAAAATAATAATACGCCATTTTTAACTAGAAGGATTCAAGCAAGAAAGGGAAATTCCAGTCATTCATTAAGATGGGTTGGTGAAGGAGAAAAATTCATTTCCTTCTTCTTTGTGAAAGAAAATAAATGTAGAGGGGAGATCATTCAAGTTAAGGGCGGGAAGTGACAAATTATTGTTTTTTCTCCAATCATTGGCTATCAATCAAGCATAAAGGCAGGGCACACTGATGGGGTTCTCTTATTTTTTTGTATGACTGAAAGAATCTGCTAAAGAAAGAATGTTGCCCCCTTTTTTCCCCCGCCTCCTAAATATTACATGGTCTGGGGAAGAATGAATGTTTCTCAAGGATGTGTATCCTTTTAGACCTATTCAAATGTTCCATTTTGACTCCTCCTCCACATTAACACTAGCTGCCTTTACCCTTTTCTTTCAATAAAAAGGTTCCAGGAAATGCCTCGTTTACTAGACAGCTGCATAGGAAAAGAGGGAGGCGCAGCTGCGGTCTTTTGAAAACAAATCTCCCTCTTTTCCTGCATTCCAGAGTAGGAGCGTCGCTAACGGTCACTCAATGGTCTTGATAGATTTTCTCTTCCCCTTTGTGATTTACGGGTTCAATGCATAAATCAGGGGTTCAGTGCAAGCTAGAAGGGGAAATGTGTCGAAAGACCTTTTTTTTTTTTCGAAATCAATTCTTCCGGAAAAGGGACGTCCGGATATGAGACGTTACACTGTATATAGTGTATATATATATATGTGTGTGTGTGTGTGTGTATATATATATATATATATATAAATCACAGTTCTTTTTTTTATGAATAATGTTTAGCTAATGTTATCAGTTTTTTTATTTATGTATGTAACAAATAAATAAGCAACAAAAATATTCTGTCTTTCTTACAATAACCCTTTTATTTATTTCTATTTGTTTTCCTTTTTTATCTTTTTTGTTTGTGGCAACTGAATAACCAACAAAAATATTTTTATTTTTTTTTGTAATAAACCATGTATTTACTTCTGTTTGTTTTCTGATTTTCATTTTTGTTTGTAACATGTAAATAACACAATAAAATATTTCTTATAATGAACCTTTATCTTCCTGTACTGTTTTATGCTTTTAGAGTGGTCCAATTGGTGTTTTACCACCAAATGTGCAAGAGAGTCGTTTGATCGATGATGTACTTTTCTGCCTTGTGGTAAGTTGAAATAATAATTATTATTTATTTTAAAGGATGCTCTTTTGAGCATATAAAGGTTTACAAGATGCTCTATCGAGCAAAAAAAAAATTTAACATATAAAGGTAATAACTTTTGGAAAGGCATAGAGAACAGAATTGTCGATTTTCAAGTTGCACAAATCTTAAAAAATTTTAACTATCATTTGACTTATTTTTTCTTTAATGAATATGTAATGTTCATTTATCAAATAACAAGTAATTAAAAAGAAAATCAAGCTTTGTTAAATTTACTGTTTAAAGTTTGAAAAGTATCTTTCTAATGTTTTTTAAATGTAATGTGATAATTTCTGATTTAGACTGATTATGACCAACTATTTTAATATTTTATATTAATTAGGGAATAGAAGGTGACTACATTCACTGCCAAAAGCTGTCAAATTTGGATAGTAAAAAGTCTTTCCGTATTGATGATAGTGCAAGTAAGTTACTTTATAAGCAGTTTGTTATCTTTAGCTATAATATTAAAAGAAAGAGTCTCTCTTTTATGTACAGTTTTTCCAGCAAATAAAAGAGATAATTTTAGCCCCCACGTCTAAAAATCATTCAAGGAGGGGTGTGAAAAACAAATTTTTCTCAAAAGGAATCGGGCATTATTTCGAATTGAAGTGCAAACATTTTTGTTTTTATTTTATATTTTTAATTATTTAAAAGATAACATCTGGAATGTTTGCTAGCTTAGAGTATTTAATCAAAAATCATTGTAGATTATTTAATAATTAGTTATTTTTTTATTTATTAGGTCTGGTAAGCTCCCAAAAAAATGTGGATAGCATATGATGTAATAAAACAAGTATACTTAAAGTTATCTAAAACCATTGTATATTTTTCTAGTGGCTAAGTTTTTGTAAAACCAATGGTAGTTTAAATAAAAATGAACCTATGCATCAGCAGGAAAATTGCTTGATTATAGTAAAATTTGATTATCATTAGTTGACTGCAATCAACAGATAAACAATCAATACAGATTAATTCTTTATTTTTTTCACCCCATCATTGTTTATTATACCATATGCATTTTTATGCTTGTTAATAAAGAAATAAAACATTTACTGATTATTGTGCTAATATGTTTTTGGCAGCCTTTCAGATCACATATCAAGGGAGTACCTTATTAGTTAAAGGTTAATTAAGCCTAACTTTATTTGCTTCAGCTGTCCATGTCAGAATCTTAATAATAATAATATCTTGATTTATTTTGCTAATTTTTTTTATTCAAAATCGACCTTGATGGCCTAACTAAACGTTTAAATACTTTTTAATTTTATATATATATATAGCTCTATAAAGACAAAAAGAAAAACCAAGAAAATTAATAAGTTTTATTAATTTATATCTATATGTCTGTGTGTGTAAGAAAAAGCTTTTATGCATTTAACTTTTTTTTTTAATCAAAATGTTAGTAATCTTTAGTCATATAACTCTTTTGTGCATTTTATTTTTGTTCTGTCATTTCCTACATTTTTTCTTTAAATTTTTAGATGTAGCTTTGAAACTACTAGTTCAAAATATGCTTCCTATGTTCTCCCATTATTCTACTATAATACAATTCGTAGAAGGTAAAATTTTTAATCTTCTAATTGTATTTTATTTTACTTTTAATTATTGTCCATTAACGTTTTTAATAATTATATATCCCTTTAATTTTTTTCAGAAAACATTAATTATGAAAAAGGTCTTGTTAACCATGCCCTCTCTGCAGCTATGAGGACTTTTTTGAAAGATTACTTTATTTTGGTTTCTCAACTTGAGAGTCAGCATTTGCAACACAATCTGACTCTTCAAAAACTGTGGTTTTATTTACAACCATCTTTAACAACCCTCGAAACCATTGCAGAAATTGCTTCTACTCTTAAAAAGGTACATCACAGTAATTTATGTTATTAATGAACAGACCTCTGTGAATTTAATTTTTAAATTATAAATTAAAAAAATGAATAATGTCATATAATAATGGTAATTATTCGATAATTAAGGAATTATTATAATCAAATATCAGTCTAACGATAAGTTATGGTAATTGGTAATTAGATTTTTATACCTGCAGTTAGTTTTAGTTGAAATCTGGGCATGTAAAAGTTAAGCTAATTTCAAATGTACTGCATTTTTTTTTTTTTTTTTTTTTTTTTTTTTTTTTTTTTTTTTTTTTTGAGCAAATTGTTTAAGACATTTTCATGAGAATTAAAAAATTAAAGGGCAATGTATTTTATTTTTTTTTTTTTTAGGCAAAGTTTAACTTTTAGAAAATTTAAAAAATTCCTGAAAAGGAAGCCTTATTAACATTTTTTTTTTCCTAAATAAGTAATACCATGACAAAGTTATCCTCTAGAAATTTATCCTGATAAAATATTTCTTTTTAATGATCAATTTGAATTGTATTTATTTTCATCCTTGTAAAAATCATATTCAAGAATATTTACTAATAAATATGTCTTTTACTACTCAAATTTATGAATTTGGGAATATATTAAACACAAAAAAATTTTCTTTTAATTCATTTAATTAACTTTTCAGTTTAACTTGTAATAACTATTACTAGCCTAATCTAGTTTTTAAATTTCATTTCCCTTTATTGATTACGAAATTCTCCTTTGATTATTTCCTATACTGTTCATAATTTGTGTACAATTTTAAAATATTCTTTATTTATTTATCTGTTAAATTTTGTTTTGCATTTAATTTTGATCCAAATATATGATTTTATATGAGGCCTTTTAGCATTCTAACATATTGATCCATAATATTTCATGAATATTGCGAAGTTTTATTTTTTAATAAAATAAGTGTACTACTATTAATTTAGATTTATGTTGTTGTTTTTTCAAGGAGAAAAAATATTTCTTTAAGGAATTTGCTTAAATAATATTATTTACTTTTATTTATTTATTTACAGAAAAATTACTTTGGAGGAGCAGTTTTGTCATTTTTGCATGAAAATACATCCTCTCTCACTGGGTATGGTACTTTTTTTTTTTTTAATGTGTAAATTATGGATTTTTTTTTTATTTACTTTTTTTAATTTTCATATTTTTTGTAGGTCAAGTAAATCACAAGAGATCTGTCACTCTCTTACCAGAGCAGTAAGTTTCATCTGTTTCTATTTTCTATGGCATAAAACAAATTTAGCTATTAGTTTTTAATGTACTGCTTAAGGAGTTTATTCCTGTGAAATTTGATGGAGAGAAAAAACTAAATTTTTATTGCATAATCTGAAAATCTAACCATTATCACTGTTCAATATTGTGTTGAAATTTCAAGTTGATTTCTGAAAGTGTGATGATAACTTCATACGATTTTTTAGTGGCTATTTTCTATTTAAATTCAATTTTTTACAGTGCATCAAATTTCAACTCTTAGGGTGACAAATCGATACTTTGTACTTAAGTTTGGCACACTGTCATTAAGTCAATTATTTATCTGTACTTAATGTTTAAGTGCTAGATTTTATTGTTCATGGAAATGCACCTTCAGAATCATGGATTTTAGATACTTTTTATGTCATAAGGAATTGCCAACACAAATCTTTATTAACATGAACCCTTATCCTTAGTAAAAGGTTCACTTTATTTTTCTTAAGACTTTTTGAAATTATTAGTAAATGTATGAAGACTATAAATTCAAGAGTTGCCTAGCAAGTAAGTACAACCCACAATTTTTTTTCAAGTATATAATACTGTAAATTTATTATCTTTAATATGTCATTTTTGACTTAGTGAAAATTGTTTGTATAAGGTTTTAAAAATTTAATTGTAATATATAATAAATGTAACTCTTATATATGACTGAATGTTAGAGAATGCATTTCTAGTGCAAATTAGATTTCTAGTGTAAATAATTTTTATTTTAGCTTGCTGCTTTGTATAGAAATTAAATAGATTACGACTTTATTGTTAAATATATAGTACAAGGTCCATAGTACTAGGTACAAGGTACATATATAGTACAAGGTTACTTAGATTTAATGCTTTGTTTTTGAATTTTTTCTTAGTTATTTGATTGTACATTCTATTTTTAAGTGCTCAAAACCTTACATCAAATTACATGATTGAATTCTGTTTTATGATGACATAGTTTTATACCAATTTTCAAAATATTATGAGTTTTTGACTTATTATATTTTCTAAAATTTTGTCAAATTTGACATTACTTTTTTTAAACGTATACATGTTTATAGATATTAGAATTAGAATTGCTCAAGGAACTTAATATAAAACTTTGTGCTGTAAAAATTTTGCTACATATACTATAAAAGCCTTTACTTGTTACCTTTTAATTCAATCATTTTTCTTTAGGCCATGTTTTACTATTTAAATATAATTTTTTGAAAGCACATTCATTACATTATTTAGAAATGCTTCTGTCCCAGTCGAAAGTCGCAACTGATTTTTCTTTCCTCCTTCTCTTTTTCAGGCTTCACTTCCATATTTTGAAATCTTAGAGAAATGGATTTACAAAGGAATTATTTCAGACTGTTACTCTGAAGTAAGAATGAAACATATATTTGTATCAATGATGGTTTTGATAATTTTTTTATAATGAAAGTTAATTCTTTGAAAAAATTTTGTTTTTAGTTTTTGGTTGAAGATAATGAAATCATCAAAAAAGAGGACTTACCTCATGAATATAGTGATGCGTATCCTTAAAAATTTTTTACATAGATTTAAGGCCCTATTCAGGAGTGCAGGACCAGCAGGAAAATCATTGTGCTTTTAAGGGTCGTAACATTAAAAGTTGTTATTAATAAAAAGAATTCAATAATTCCACAGAAATAAACATCTATTCAATAAAATTCTCTTTTTGTATGTGTGTTCTAAGCTATTAGAATCTGACTTTTTGCAAATGTTGCTCAAATTTTGCAATGTGGGAAGGTAATTTGGAAAAATTTTCTGTATTTTCTAATGTCTGATATTTTTAGACTTATTCCAATCAACTTTCATGCCCCAAGGCTAATTAAGAAATGTACTACAAATTGCTCATTTCTACTGAATTCATCTAGGCTTATTGCCTTAAATATATATGTCTTATTGAAAATTGCTTGAAATAAATTGGGCTAACAAAAAAATAAGTTATATACCAGTCATTGCTCATATCTTTAATAATTAGCGAAAAGGTATGTAGTCTCTTTTCTGACTGATGCCTGATTAGAAAATTTCAGACTGATTAGAAAATACTGGAGACTTTTAAAGTGATATACGGAATTACAGTGCCAATTTGTAAACAGCAAGATTATTCAATAACTTGTGGCATGCTTATTTATGTATGTAAGTACATAATTGAAGTATCAAGAATATCAAATTCATTGTTCAGTTTTAAGAATCCACCTACTTTATTTGCACTTTAACTTGTTGCTAGATATTGGGAAAAGCGATATACTATTCGCTGTGATCAAATACCCACATTCTTGGTAAAGGCAGCTGATATGATTCTTCGAACTGGAAAGTACATCAATGTCATAAGGCAATGTGGTATGATTCAAAATTATAAATTGTTTTTAAAAGTTGTGTTAAAGCTTGATAGCTGTTTTGAAATTTGTTTTAAAAATTGTTTAATTCTTTTTTGTTGTGTCTATTTTTAAGGTAAAACTGTAAATTGTCCTGATGCTAAAGCTATTGTCTACACCATGCGAGAAAGCCAATATATAGAATGCATTGAGCCAGCTTATCATTTTGCAAGCAAAAAGCTTCTTGATCACTTGATGGATGATACTGACTTGAGGAAGAGACTTCTGTATGTTTTGTTTTTTAAATTTGCTTTTATTTTTTTAGTTTTTATTTTGTTGTGTGTAAACTTTTTTTTAACTAGATTCTAAAAGTTAATTCTGTAGATAGAATGTTTGTAAACTTTAAAAAAAAAGTTTTTGCAGTTAGCTCCCAGGAATAGCATTTTAACATAGCATAAATAAAATTGCATTGCATTTTGATCAAATTTTAATCTTATTAGTTTTACTATCCGAATTACAAGATTAAAACAATTATTTTCAAGAACTTATGTGAATTACATAACCATTCAATTTCTATAAAATAACCTCAACCTGCCAAAAAGTACTTCTGTATTTGGATGTAAAAATTTCAAAAATAAGTTTTAAAATCCTTGTTTCAGCAACTTTTTAATTCTAACATTAGAATTTTTTAATGGCTTTGACATTCTTAGAAATGGATCACCATCTTTTTTGTTCCTTTAAATATTTTTTTTGTAGTTTATGGAGATAAATAATCACCAAAAACTTTCTTAAGTCTTTAGCAGACTTTTTGTTTCGAAACTGCAAAATTTGCTGAAGAAAAAAAAGGCTAAGGGATATCAAAGACATTAAAAGCATCAGAACTAAAGAAAGTTCTGAAAGACGACTTTGAAGCTTTACATTTAAATTTAGAACTGCATTATATCATGTGGATGTTCCTTCAAAGCATATTAACCCTTTCAGAGCCAAAGTAAGGCAATGGAAGTGCTTTCCCTGGCCTGCAATTTCCAAATTTATAGATAATAAGGAATATGTATATGTAGTAATCACAACATCATCATATTTGGCTAGACAGCCGAGAGTGAGCCAGTGCCTTGCTCTGAATTCTCTACTGCATTCTATTTTTGACACTTGTGCACCAGTTTCTTTCCTGAATTGAAAGGAAGTCAATTTCAGCCTACTCCATCCATCTCAATCTGGGTCTACCCCATTTCCTGGTTGTTAGTGATTTATGAAGGTAGTGCATTTAGATTTGTGATCTTGAGCCATTAGAGTCAAAAAGGCTCATTTTATGTATGAAGTCTTGGACCATGAAGGTATAATTCTAGGTCACATACATTTAATTATGGTCCTGAAGGGGTTAAATGTATATGTAATTTAAGGTAAAATTTTCAGTTTTTGAAATTTTCGATCAAACTTGAAAATTTATTGCAGGCCCTTTTGAAAATTCAATATCACATTTCTAGAACTATTTCTAAATTTTCACCTTTTTCTAGAAATCAGTGTTAATAATTTTAATTGTTTGATACTTTTGTTTAAAAAATTAAATTTTTTTTTTACTTTTTGTTCTGTTTTTCTTTCCTTTGAAGAAATATTTTATCTCTGTTTCCTTATTCAATGCAGCTCAGTAAAGCACTACTTCCTCCTTGATCAAGGAGATTTCATAATCCAGTTTATGGACATGGCTAGTGAAGAATTGCAGAAAGATATTGATGATATAATGCCAACAAGATTAGAATCACTTTTAGAATTAGCACTTCGTACCAGCGTAGTAAATGAAGACAAGTATAAAGATGATGTTAGGTGTGTATTTTTAAAGCTAGTCTCGTTTTATCACGCAAGTAACTTTCTCAAAATGAAGCTGTGATTATGTCTGTTTTACACGAATAAGATAATTATAATAATTACTTAAATAATTAATAAAAATTACTTATGCTTTTCAATAATTCTATAAATTATTCTCTATTTCTTTACCTCTAAAACGCCTTTATCTGATGCATTCTTTAATGTTTCGATGTAGAAGATATTTGTATGTATGTGTAAAGTTTAACCATAATAAAGTACACAACCTTGTTTTTCAAAAAAAAATTTGCTTTGGTAACCACTATGAATTTTGTTTTATATGAATTTCATTCTTTGTGATTTCATTTATATAATTTACATTCTTTGGTATGATAAAAAACAATATTAATTTGTCTTAAAATTTAAAAGACGTATGTGAAAAATGTTTTCAAAATACAAAACATTTAAAGTTTTGGACAGTTTGCAGGATTTGAACTTATTCTGAAAAATAAATTTATCTGTCTTCTACATACCCGTCTTGTTAAAAGATCTAAAAATTATTATATAGTATGAAAAAAGATAGTTTTCACCTACTACAGCATTTCAAACAAAATTTCATCAATTAATAAATTTGCTGTATACAAAATATTATTCATAACTATTTTACCAGTACATTTCTAATAGATTTATTTTCTTTCTTTTTTTTTTCTTCTTTTTTTTTCAATTTTATGCCTCCATATTGAAAAAGAAAAATTGGTTTTATTTTTAGGGTTGAACTGCTTCCATATGACTTGCTGACTCAAATGTTTAAAATACTTAAGATTCCTTCTGATATGCAGACTGGTTAGTATTAAACGCAAATTAACATTTAAAACAATTGCAATTAATCAAAACTATATGCTTTTATTAATGGTTGTTTTAAAAAAAATTGATTTATTCTATCTACATTCGAAAACAAAATTAAACTAAGCATTAAGCTTTTTTTTCTTCTTTTTTTTAGAGTATAGAAACTCTGGAATTGGATCACTTACAGGATTAGAAGCATTTGCCTTTGATTATGAAGTCAAGTGGCCACTTTCTCTTGTTATTAACCGAAAGGTATTTTTCCATATTGTTAAAATATTTTTTTAAATATTCTTTGCCTTGAAAGGTAAAAAATACTTGCATGAATATAAAAGAATTCAAGAACTTTATTTTTCAAACATTTCTATTATTATTGCTAGTATAATTATTTGACAATTTAAGAAAAGCTTTATTTGTTTACATTAATTTCATTTTAGTTAAGCATTAAACTTTTTTTTTATCTGTCACAATTTCGGAACTTGCCAGAGCTTAAAAAATCAAAATCATCCTATATGTTGCAAGTCTGCATGTGCATACACTGAAATATATTCAGTGGGTAGGAAGGAATCTAGCACTCTCACATGCAACTCTGCTGTTTGTAAGAAATACATGTTTTCAGGCTTTGTTTTCCACCCCATGAAATCAAACCGAAAAATCTCTCATTTTTGCTAATCATGAGGGCAAACTAAACATTACCAAATTTTTCCCCAATCACATTTTTTTTTTTTATTTCTCTTGTTAATTTCATCACTGGTGAGGCACCAATGTCACATGTATTACTCACTAGCTAATGATGTTCTTGTGCTGTTCTATTTATAAATCTGTGCCATAATCCTTGAACTTGACTTCCAAATCATTCACTAATGATATATTTTCATATGGGTCCAGAGCACTCAACAATCACAGAGCATCATCATCTCAAGCTTTTATTAAATGAATAAAAGGGTTTTTATTATTAAATGAATAATTTCTCCCTTTTATTCATTTAATTTAATAAAGATAAGAAGTAATCTTAACAATTAAGATAACATTAATCTTTAATTGTAGGATTTTTTTACCCTAGGCACCGTCCACTAAATGCATAAAAAATTTTAAACTTTTTACTGTACTTTTGTATTATTACTTTTTAAAATTTTCAGTGATCTTAAGTTATTTTCTGAAAAACTCAGTAATATTTGGAGGCAAGATTTTAAAAAATGTATGAAGTGAGGGGCTTTTCACTATTTTAACAATTAACAAATGAAGTGAAAAATCCTATGTTATTCAAATTTACCATTCCAAAAAAAAAAATTATTCATCTCTTAATTAACTATTAAAGTAATGAATTAAATTAATTTAAAAAATAATTGAAACAAAATATTCAATAATCTCAGATTTGTTTAATATTATGAATGTAAGGACCATATAATTATTTACTTAGCTTTAATGCTCATTGTATTTATGTTTCAAAATTCTTGACAAAATTTTTAATCCTTCCATTAAAGTAACATAGAACTGAGTTGCAAATTTTCTAAAAAGTTTAAAAAGGACTATTAACTAATTTGTAGTATAAATTTATTAATCTTTTCTTAGTTTATTTGATTCTTAACATATCTTTATAAATTCAGTATGATCTGTAATATTAATTTTGCTTAATATTTATTGTCTGTTTACATTTAAAAATACAAGATTTTTCATTTATTTTACAGGCTTTAGCTTATTACCAAATTCTCTTTCGACATTTGTTCTATTGCAAGCATATTGAAAATTTACTTGGGCAGTAAGTTTTGCTTTCTATTAGCATATGTATGTCTATCAGGGATATTTTTCTATTTATTTGTTAACATTGCTAAATTTATTATCTATGTGTCTTAATTTTTGGCGACATACAATATTTTTTGCAAATGAAAATTTGTAAATTCCTTATTTACGTGTGAATAAATTTTTTTCCTGTTAAGAAAACTTTCACCAGCTAATAATAATTGCGAAATTTTTTAAGGTTTGATATTTAGGTGTACTCTTTTAATGTAAACAGTTAGATTTTTGGACTATTTTGGTGAAGCAGGAAAAAATTGGAGATACAATTTTCCAAGACTGAAGGATTGAAACTTTCAATAAATGTTTAACTTTCAATGCTGCTACTTTAGTTAATTAGTTTAATTGTATAAATGTTTTAGGAACATTAGTCCAAAAGAAAATTGAATAAATTTTTTGTTTTTTATTTATGTTTGTGTGTGTTCAGTGTGCACAAAAAAAATGGAACACCATCTATAACTTTTGATTTAATAATTGGATCTTTACATTCTAGGACTTATTCTTTATGGTTTAAAGGGGTTACCTCAAATATGCTAATTACTTAGCACATACAGTAATTTAAGTTATAAAATCAGATACAAAAATGTACTTTCTCTAGATAAACATACCTTTTTTTAGCGGATTCGAATTCCTGACCCCCTAAAAATAGCAAGTAGCTGTAATCTGGGAAATATGGTCCTGATAGGTCAAAAGAGCAATCTGAAATTTTGACCCCTTAATATTAATTTTATTTTTTGCATATTTCGCTATTTATTAAGAACTTTTTAAGTAAATTGAAGAAGTTTTGTACACAATTATAAAATCCACTTATCTAAAGATATTTCCATGCAAAAAATAAATTTTAGTATATGTTTAGTTTATTTAATAATAGTCGAAAAAGTTTGAATTTTAGGGTTTACAATTTAAGTCATTTCAAAGTATGTGATTTTACATTGCAAAATTGATTGAATAGTTCCTGAGAAATCGAATCTTAAATATACAGCTTCTTTTCTTCTTTTGAGAACAATTTTGCTCAAGTTTTGTACTTAAAAATTATGTAAAAAACAATGATGTCACACTTAAAAATTATGTAAAAAATTTTATACCTTACAATTCATTTATTTTTCGACTATTATTACATAAAATAATAGAAAATAGTAAACATTTACTAAAATTTATTTTTTGGGCGGTATTATTTTTGAATAAACGAATTTTATAATTGTGTGCAAAAAATTTTCTATTTGCGGTAAGATTTCTCGAGATATGGCGAAATATACGAAAAGTAAAATTAACATTAAGGAGTTCAAACTTTGGATTGTTCTCCTGATCAAACTTTGGGGGCCATATTTCCCAGGTTGCTGCTACCCTCTGTATTTAGGGGTCGAAAATCCAAATCCAATGAAAAAAAAAAGATATGTTTATTCAGAGAAAAAACGCTTTGGTGTCTGATTTCGCATTTTCATATAACGTCTACACTAAATAATTAGCATGTTTATGGTTGCCCCTTCAAACCACTAAGAATGAGTCGTAGAATGTAAAGATCCGATCATTTGATCAAAAAGTATTTATAGTGGCTTTTTTTTTTTCTTTTTGGTGCAGTGTACATGTTTTGGTGCACTCTCAAACCTAGATATCTAAACTGAAAGACTAAAAGAAATTATCATAGTAAAGAAGTAACTGTATAATAAATTTGAATGTTAGATAACATCTTTTTACACCAAATGAAACTTGTAATATCAAATTATTTTTTCATCATTACTTTTCTATGAATGATTAGCTACAAAAAAAAACTATTTATAATACATTAATTGTTAGAGATGTCTTCATGAAATCTTAGTTTAGAATTTTTGGTGACTTGTGAAGGTCAGCAGTTTTTTAACTTATCCTTATTGTGATGTTTTGCTTTTTTTATGGGAATTGTGGGCTTATGTTAATTAGTTGTTTATCCATTCAACATACTTTGTAACAGCACTCTTATTGCAAATAATACTTCACACAAATTAGGGAAGCGACCGAATGGTCGGCTGCTATCAATCAGATCCCATACATCTTTGACGTACTTACATCATATTGTGCCCAACGTATTTACACATCACCGACTGCAATCTGTCAAAATAAAAGGATATTATTTACTATTAATCATACTATACACTTTACTACTGTTAAAAAGAAATCACTGCTTTCTTTACATTTATTTTATTCATTTTATGTGTAAATGTTTCTAAATAAATAAGTTTTTCTAAATGAAAATCGTATTAATAATTTTGTTATGTTTTCAGAGTCTGGTCTTTAAATAAGCAAACCAAATCTCTTCCTCGATCTGAAATTTGCATTTATGCTCCAGCTTTTGCACTGAGGCAGAGAATGCTAAATTTTATTCAAAACTTAGACTATTACTTAACTCTTGAGGTTATTGAACCTCACTGGAATGACTTTTTCAGAAAGATATCTCAGGTATGTTTTGCATTTTGTGTTACGCATTTATCCCTTTTGTATTATGCCTATATCCCATTTATCTAATTGTTGTGCATTTCAAAAATTTAATTTCGTGGCATAATGTTATACAAATAGTGTCATCATAATTGTCAATTTTATTTTGTGCAAGTTTCAATTATCTTTATGTATAAGTTTAACATTTTTCTAGGTCACCAACATCGATGAAGTTTTAGATTGCCACAACGATTTTCTTGAAAAATGTGTTGATGATTGCATGTTAACAAATCCAGGTCTTCTCCAAGTATTGGCTACTCTTATGAAATTGTGTGCTGATTTCTCAATATTTTTGCAGGTATTTGTCTTTTTACTATGAAGTTATACAATGATTTTCTGAAAGTGTATATATATCTGCAAGCTACATGTATATGAACTCAGTAATTAACACTTTCATGGCTTTAATAGCAAGTCTATGTCTTACTCTCTGCGCCAAGAGTTACCGTTTTCTAAAATTGCCTTTATCATGTGTTAGCCAAAGTAAAAATGCTTTGTCTCTTTTATAAGCATGATGACTAATTCTTGATAATTTGTAACACGAGGAGGAAAAATTAACAGGTCATTTGATGTCAAACATTAAAAGCATGTTTAAAACATTAAAAGCATGTGTTATCCATATATTTTTGTGTTTAATCTTGAAGATTGAACATATTCTAATTCAGTTTTATTTATTTATGTGTGGGTGTTTCAAAGTTAACATTACTTTTATAAAGTAATTTTTATTTTGCTGTTATATCTTATTTCAGATGTGATTCATTTATATGTGAAATTAATCATGCTTTTTACTTAACAAATATGTTCATAGTTTTTCATACTTAGGAGGCTGAAAAAGAGTTCATTACTCAATTGCTAAGCTAAATTGGATGATACTTTATAAAAAAAATATATATAAATTGTTATTGATAACAACTAAATTTCTTTTCTTAGGGCTTTATGAAGTGCTCTGAAACTGAAGTTTCAATCATGGGAGATAGTCTGTTGCATTCTATCAATGAATTTCCACTCGTAAGTTTTCCAACTATTAAAATCACTTTTGTGTCAATAACTTTCGATTTTTTAACTTTTGATTTTTTTATGCCTTTATGTTTAAAATTTCTGTATGTCTGTATTTTTATATACATATATTTCATAATGGTTTATATCAGGAGTCCGCAACCTTATGACCATGGTGCCCGCCAATTATTTTACGTGTGCATTCCACTGTGCGCATCATGTGTAGTTAATAATACAAACCAACTTGTATGCATTATTAACTATGACAAACCTATCATCCAACGAGTAATCTGGGATACAAAAAGGTTGGGGACCCTGGACTTATATTTTCAAGCTAATAATCCTATGTCATAACAGAAATTTGCAATAAAGTCACATTTGCTGACGGATGCTTTTTTTATCTAAGAAAATACTTAAAATCAAATTAAAATTGAATTAATTTGAAATTTCAATTTATAAAATAATCTATCAGTATCTTATTGCTAGATTGCTCTAACAAACAAACAAAAAAAATTGTTTTTATTTTTGATTATCGCCCTTTAAAGTGTAACACATTAGTTTAAAAATACTTAAGTGAAGAAATTTAATAGTTTGTTTCGAACAACAATGTGATCTAAATCTTTATTTTAATTAATCATCTGAAATTAAATTTAAAAGATAATAAATTAGTTTTTGAACACTTATTCTTTAACAGAAATTTTTTTTTTCTAATCATTCTTTGAAGTGTGTCATATTAACTTAAAAATACTTTACACTATATCTTAAATTCCAGTTGGTAGATAATCTGTATTAATCATTTTTTATACAAAAAATGTTGCTTTTTATGCTTTCTTAAATTTTAAAACGTATCATATTTAAAAATACAGTTTATAATTATTTTAAGACAACAATGGGTTCTAAATTTTAATTAATGGTCTTGTTTTCCAATTTGTATTTATTCCATCAGTTTTTAAACTTTTATTTTTAATAATTTTTTATTACCCTTTAAAGTATATTAAACAGACACAGTTTTTATTTTATTGAACATAAAGTAAAAATTTTAATATCTAAATAACTTTTTTCAGACTACGATGTGTCCTAAATCGTTGGAGAATTTTCAACTACAAATAACAAATTTTGAAAAGAAATTTGATGACAGCATAATACATATGCTAAAAATCTTACACACTGTGAACCAAAGCAAACAAACTTCGAAAATTATAAATATGCTGTACAGGTAATTTCCTTATTTGTTCTTTTTATATCGAACTCAAAGTTCGCATTTTATAAAACAATTGTTTCAATTATTGTGGAAATTATATCATTAATTCTTTATGAGTGATAGTATTTACAAGATCGTCCTGGATGCCTTACTTTTGACTTAGTAAAAGAAATTATTTTTCTGTGCTTTTAATTTTGCACAGTTGTAACAAATATAAACAAAAACTTCTAATTTTCATTTTAATCTTAATTCTCTATAACTATTACACAATGACATTAATCACAGTTGGTATCAATGTTTATTCAATTGATTTAAAAAAGAAAAATTTTGAATTAAAGGTGCATTTCTAAAATTTCAAAAGCTTGGCATTGAACTAAGGGACTGCTCTCAATTTGTACAAAAAGCATATTGTCAATTCTACCTGATTTGTTGATTCAAAATTTTTAAAACTCTTATGTATTTTTATAAAGAAAAAAAAGCATTTATTCATTTTATATAATTTTTAAATATGAATTATTGGGCCATCCTCTTATTTAGCATTTCTAGAAAGTTAAGTACTAAAACAAATCTGGCAATTTCAATTTTTTTTTTTTTTGAAGGATTGATTTAAAATAATTTAGATCTAATTAAAATTTCTGCATTTCCCAACTATAAAAATAATTAACTATGAGGGATTATCTACTAATTTTTAAAAAAGAATGTTTAACAGTATTCAACATTAATGAAATATTTTTAATACGATTTTATTGATTTCCGATTATTCAACCCCAAATACAATTTTAACAGAACATTAAGCATTCAAATTCACTTTCTATAGGATTTACATTAATTTAACTATTCAATAAGTAATAAAATTTTAAAATAATTTAAATGTAATGAATTTTATTTGTGTTTTCTCTTTTGCTTCTACTACAGCCTATCTTTATCAAATTAGGGTAATTCCCCTAACTTTTTTATGAGTGGCCGTTACTCACTAATTGATGAATTGTGTATATAGGACGAGATTCGGAAATTTAGTAACCAGCCAGTGGCTAGTGAAACATTTTTTAATAGCTGCCATTTTTCAAGATTTTAAAATTCTAAACTTTTAAAATAATATTGATATTAATGTAAAGCGTATTTCTCAAAATATTGCACACTCTACAGCAGGGGTGTCAAACTCAAAAGGTAACTTGGGCCAAATAAACAATGCTTAACTTTAGGTGGGCCGAAAAAAAAAAAAAAAATCAATGTTCATAGAAACAAATATTTTTATTTTGAATAGCACATTGTAATAAACATATATAAAGTTAAATTATTGTTTGATACTTGACATCTCTTCTCTGCTACTATCTTTCCTATTTCTGGAGACATTTTTTTGGCCGAGACTACTTTCAAAATTGACCCAACATGAGCGTTATTATTACGGTTTCGGACAGGAGATTTATTTCCATTCATAACAGAACATAATTGCTTGCACTGATAAGTACTTCCAAACATGGAAATAATTTCATATACGAATTTTCGAGTATTTTCAAACCTTGCTGGTAAATATTTGTAAAATTCAGGCATAACCACTACAATGAATTTTGCCTTCAAATTTGAGTGGCACTGAATCTCAATCACTTCCATTTACATACTACTGAGTCTATATTTATTGACAAAATCGACGAACACAAACAAAATTTGTTTTCCGAGGAATTTAAATCTTTAAACCTTGTTTCAAATTCCATTCGAAGATTTGAAATTTTTTCTGCGTATTTGTGATACGATGCAGTATCCCTGGAATGGCAGGTGCCGCAAGCCAGTTAGAATTTTAAATTTTTGCACGTACAATTTAAAATGATCTGTATAGTTTATAAATAAAGTATATTATAATTTCATATGCTAGTTTCCTTTCTACTTCACATTTCTAATTTATTTTTACTTTGCGTCGGACATATTGACTGGGCCACAAAAATGTTCATCTCGGGCCGCGAGTTTGACACCCCTGCTCTACAGAGCTCATTTCTGAAATAAAATAAAAATGACAGATGTATGTATAATTTACAAATTGCATATAATGTTTACAGATAATAAAATTTAGGGTTTGATTTTAGGACATAAAAGTTATGTTTATTTGCAAACATAAAATTTATCTGCTATAAAATATAATTGTAATTATAGTGATGAATTATATTAATTAGATTACTTTTAAATATTATCAACCATAAATTCAAACTAAAAGGTAATATGAAATTATCTTTTGGTAAACAAATTCTATCTCCCTGAAATTTTGATTTTTTTTCTCCATCCCTAAATAGAGCTTCCCGTGTAAGGATTAATACGAGAAGTTGAAAGCATGTGTTTTAGATTACAAGGGGTTAATTTTTAACAAAAAAAGTTGCGATTGTGAGGCAATTAATAAAATATTTAGTCACCCTATGACCAGTAGTAACTATTAATTTTGTCCTATAATTGTGTATTAAATTATATTCATTATTATTGAAATAATATTCAAGTATTACTTCTAAAAAAATGTTCAGTCTTGTGAAGAGTGGCACCTTTAATAATCTAGTATTAGTGCTTGCAACTACTCTGCTTAGATTGTGTTATTAATTTGCATAAGCATTTAGTTCTTGAATAATAAAAGAAAACTGCATATATTTGTGGCTGAAAATGTTCTTATTTAATAAGAAAGTAATTTATTTTAGTTTTAAAATGCACTTTATGTTTTTTTATAGATTAGATTTCAGTAGATATTATGAAGAGATGAGCCAGAAAGAACTTGAAAATTTAGATCATGTTTTCTGTTTATAATTTATTGTTTTTCTCATTAAAAATTTACATATTGTATTTTATTGTTATAATCTTGTTGCATTTATTATGTTAAAATAAAATAAATGAATATCTGAATTGAATATGCCCTAAATTTAATTTGTGAACATTTACTATAAGATAAAACTATTTATATGCAAGTTTTCACACAAAAATTATTTTTTTCTTTTAAAATTTGTATGTACTATCTAATACCTCAAAAGCTCTTCCTCATATAGCAGAAGTTTAAATCAGTATTGAATTTTTATATATAATAATGTGATTTGCAAATTGAAAACAATATTAAATTATAAAGAGAAAATTACTACAACTACATATCATAATATATTTTATACTGTATAAAAATAATGTTTTCATTTCTGAACTCCTGTTATTTTTGCCAATTGTTATACTTTTAAGGTTATTATTATTATTAGTCACATAAATTCTTATCATTCACTTAGCTGACTAATAAGAAATTTCACTATTCTCTTCTAGATAATATTTTCATCATATTGAAAAAATTCTTTTATTAATATTGTTAGTAATTTTTTGATTTTCATGTTATTTGTAGTTGTGCAAAATTTTTAATGAAAATTATTTTGTAATCTTAGATATTTTTATTAATATCTAAGATAAGATATCTTAGATCTTTAGATCACTGTTCTTTATCTTTTAATACTAAATGAAAGTTTATATTTTTCTTCCAAATGGAGCAATGGAGATATAATGTTCTTAACACTGATGTGGCTAAATACTAGTAGTTTTGTTTACAGATTGAAGTTGCTATCATTAAAGTTATTTTTAATAACAACCGTTGCGTAATAATGTTTTCGTATTTAATGCATGTTATTCTTAAAACTGTCAATTAACAATTGTAAGTTAATTAAATTAACATGTAAATATATCAGTTTCGAATTGTGCGGAAAACTTAAAAACATGCCAACCTGTAGTTGTATTGATATACAGTTCTTTGTAATAGTGCCATTAATATAATGTACAAAATATGAAATAAAATTTTGTTCTATTTATATAATTGAAAATTCCTTATCTTACTAATATCACACACATACACTTGCCTGTTTTAAATGTTTAATGTTAGTTTTTCTCTCACTTTTTAAAGTACCCTTGAATTTCAACATATTTTTACTGACAGTTTTGTTTTTTATAAACTTCTTTATAAAAAACATTTCAAGTCAACTAGGTTTCCAAATATTTAAGTATGATAGCTTTTTAATTTTTGTATCAGGTTTTAGATAATACAGTGAAACCTCTCGGGTGCGACCACTCTCTTTTCCACAGTGCACAGTTGAATGATTGTTAATGGAGGTTGGTCGTTCTTAGGGGTTACCTTCATTGACCTCAAAATGATGTCAAATGTGCATGTGCCTTTTTTGCAAGAAATTTTAATTTTACTCAGTGTCATTTTCGTGATGCAGAAATGTCACTTGTGTTCGCATCATGAAAACCAGATCAATAAATAAAATTTAGAGCCAATAAAAATGACATTTAATTTTACATCATAAAAATTAGAGTGATTTTTTAAAAAAGGAGGTATATTTGTTTGAGATGCTTAGTTTTTTTCGAAAATAAGAAATCATTGGTACTGATCGACTTTAGTGCACTCTGACTGAAACATGATGAACTATTTACTATCATTATATTTTCCACATAAAGAGAACACAGATACACCGCAGCAGTTTTGATAAAAAGTTAAAACATAAGAAACATGTTTTACAAAAATTTTAAGTCAAATGACTTTAAATTAAATTATAACAGAAATTACTGTTATCTCCAAAACAAGTCCCTTATGGTTGTGTCCCGTATTAAAAGATAGTTGAAAGAAAATTTACAAACGTCAAACAACAAAAATGCAATAAAAAAACACATATAATTACAAATAAGGTTACTTGAAAGGTTAATTTACTATCATTTTATTTTATTAAAATGATCAAATTTTTTTTAATGGTGACATTGACGTTTCTCCACAGCCATATAATGAAGCTAATTTTAGACACATTTATTCAATTTCACTATCCTCAATAACTTTATCGATCAATGTAAAGAAATTTTGCTTGCGATATTTACTCACATTTACTAAAGTTCTTACTCAGACATCCACTCTACCAGTATCTAGAACATGGGGGAGGAGAATGTACATATTTCACACAAGTACTGGTTAAATTAAATATTAAAAGCTGATCAGTTATGCATCAAGAATTACTGTTCATTGTGTTTATCAGAACAACATNTATAATTTTCTCTTATTTATTGCAAACATTTATATAATTGCACAATGAATTAGTAGTTACTAGGATTACATTATACAGTAATAAAATATATACTAGCTTACTAATAGTAACCTAGTATTTCATTTATGAAATAATTTAAATGACAAAGGTCAAGTTATCTGGAATGTCAATTTATCAGGGGTACTGCATTTTTTAAATGATTTATGACGTTTGCCAGTTCTACAATCAAGCCAATGATTTAGAGTTTTCTGTAAATCTGAAAGGGGTTTTCCATTTAGGTATTCATAATTGCGTTTAAGGCTTCTTGTTTATGACCAGTACGTAATGTGTTTTTTTAACAGTGACGTCACGAGCTGGGCGGTACGTGATCAGAGGAATTGTTAATTCCTTTGTTAGAAGTCCACAGCACAGAGCAACTTTTCTTTTGTTTACCGATTACGTGAGCATGCACATTTAGTCTGACGAAAGACTTAACAGGATTTCTAGATTGGAGGGTCATTTTAGAAGTGAGGCTCTAGACTTTTGTAAGATAACAAAAATTGAAAATGTATCACGAACATTAACGGTAAAATGGCTGTCCGAGCAGATTCGAGAAATTTATTGTCCATGGGGAATTTTTGACCGCCAAGGACGGGCGGTTTTTCGAGCCCTGGTACCAACTGTAAAAAGTTGGTGCATATTAACAAAGAAGTAAAGGTGGTATCAACACATAAAACAAAAAAACCAAAGATTAGAAATTTTAAAAAAAATTTTATTTACACATGAAGAATTAATTTTTGTCCAGACGTCTTTTATTTTAAAAAAATATGTATAGCAAACATTTTACATATGTAAGTAATTATACACATAATAGAAAATTTCTGATAAGAGTATTAATAAGAGAATATATACTAATATATTGAGAATTTATTTCGTTTTAAGCCAACATATCAAAATTAATTTAGTGTGGGTTTTTGGATCTAAATTTCTATTAAAACTTTAAACTACAATCCAAAACAAGCACTAAAATATTTCTAATGTATTTTTTTTTTTTTAAATTCACAACGAAGTTGTAAAATATTTGTTGATTGTAATGTATCAAATTTCAATAGCAAAGTTGCCTTAATTACTTAAAACCTCCTATAATAATCTATGCCAAACTTATTAATTAAAATTAATTGGCAGATAAAGAGCAATCAATAAAAAAAGTTAAGATATTTCTTATTTTAAGATTTCTCTCATTTTTTAGGAAGCTCTATTCTGCAAAAATATGAAAAGACCAAATTAACGATATAACAGGAGTCTGTCCAGGTTTCTTTGAGAGGTACCTATTTCGTGAAAATTTAGACATAGTTTGTGAAAACTAAAAATTATATTAAAAAATCAACACAAAAATATGGTAAAATAAGAAAATATTTTCAAAAATTGTCACTACGAATAAAAATTATTTAGAGCAGGAAAATTTCTACATATTTTTCCTCATAATTCAAAAATAATTTTGCTAGTGTAAAATTTTGCCTTAAAATTGTGTCCAAATTTAAAAATCACTGTCCATAGTTAAATTTCCACTTGAATTTTTTAAAAGCATGCATTTGACAGTATTAGCGCTAAAAGTCTTTTTCATTATAAAAACATTTTCAACTAGGTCATACAGAAAAAAAATTCACAGAGAAAAAAATTTTTCATAAAAATTAAAGGTCTGATAGAATAAATTTACAATAGTTTTTAAGATAATGTTAGAATGTTTAAAATAATGTTTTAATTTTGACTTTCTGCACAGTTTACAGAGGGGGAGAATCATCGTTTCATTTTAAAAGGCTCAGTGGGAGAACTTGCTTTTTTAAAAGTATTTTTGTGAAACTACCGTTTTTCCTTAAGTTGAATTTGTGTAGGTACCGCTAAACGGTAGTAAATTTACCTTCTACAGACAACTGTATAAATAAATGAATTAGACACTTACAATAAATTTTTCTAAATTTAAATTCATAGGAAATTGGAAGCTATTTAACAAAAATATGATAAATGATTAAAAGTCTATTAATTATCCATAATATCATAACTAAAAGTAAAGATACTATATATATAGTATAATACACAGAGTTCAGAATTGTTGGACAAAAAGTAATGGAATTAACACTGAAATGATCAACATCATATAAAATTTTATGAAAAAAGTAAACACTAATATCAAAAACTATAATAAAAGTAACATCTTCTTGTGAAGGCCTAATACTTTCAATATTTGTGAACAGCTATTATTACATGAAAACAACAAGCAATTCAGGTGAAAGTAGCATATAATTATAACAATGTAAAAATTTAGAAATGTAACAATTTCCTTAAAAAAGAAAGTTTTGGCAGCATTCATCATTCTAAGATTTGTATTTCCTAAATTCATGAACAGCTTCTACTTTCAATAAGACCTCAAACAATTCTTGTGATGGAAAATCATCATATTCTATAAGATGTACTAGTTCAGAACTTCCGCTGTCAGAGAGCTTTTTCTTTAAAAGTTTCGTAAATATTTCTCTTTGTTTATGCATATCTTCTATTGAGAGTAATCCTTTTTCTTTTAAAGAAAAGAGTACTTTCAATGGCTGAGCATATTCTAGTGCTAATCGAACTGAATTTTGAACATCATCATCACATATTATATGATAAACAGAGATGTTAAAGGTTCTTTTTGATATGCCGGCAATATTTATTTCTACCGGAATTAATTCCTTGCAGCGGTTAATGCAATCAAATTCGTCTATATATGTTTCAACTTTACAAGAGGAAGGAATTAAAATAAAAAGTTTATCAGACATATTTTTTATACTATGCCTACTTTTAAACATTCGAATTCGATGTTTTAAGTCTACATGTGGATGTCGAAGAATGTAATTTAAATAATTGTCATAATAACACAACGCACTACCATATCCTAACGATAAATCATTGTCTATAATCAAGTTCTCTGATTCAGTTAAAGATGGCTTATAAAACAAACGATGAAAAAAGATAACTAAAAATGTGAAAAGCAGCAATATAAGTTCTTGAGGAACTTTATAAAAATAACCACCAATAACGATTAAATTCATAATAATATATGAAATAAGATGCGTAGTTTTCTCTCTTTTTAAGAGATGCTTCCTAGCATCTTTCAATGTTAATGAATAATAAAGATGAAAAATATCTTTCACTAAAAAATAATTAGAACATGTAGAAAGTGGTAACGAAAACAGCCAAATATGTCCAAATCTTTCTTGCGTGAACAGTAATAACTTCAAAAGATGTAACATGGATATGATTCCCTTTATCATCTTTTTGGAAAAACTAATATTACTTTGATATAATACGGAACAGTGAGATCAATAATTTATTATCAAATCAAAATAACGGTTGTTTTGATTTTATGTAAATTAGCCATTTCCGACTGCCGATTTTTGTAGCTTTTACAAAATAATTTATTAAAATGTGCTCTAAGCTACTTATTTTTGTAAATTTTAAATACTACATATTTACACAATTATGAAAATGTATATTAAGAAGAAATAAAATGGCAACAGTTTTTTTCATTCTCTTTAGCTTTCTCACAGGTTCAAAGCTGAATACGAAACTTTCATTGGAGAAAATTTAAGGCTTCTCACAGGTTCGCAAATTACGTCATCATTTTATTATTATTTTAAATTCGACAGAACGCTTTTGTCGTCTGATCTAAATCGACGTTGCATATCTATTGTGTTTGTATCGCCGAGAATTTTTGTTTATTAGTTCAACATGTCTGGTCGTGGAAAAGGAGGTAAGGGCTTGGGTAAAGGAGGCGCTAAACGACATCGTAAAGTACTTAGAGATAATATTCAAGGAATAACCAAGCCTGCTATCCGTCGTCTTGCTCGTCGTGGCGGTGTTAAGCGTATATCTGGCTTGATATACGAAGAAACCCGTGGAGTGTTGAAAGTGTTTCTGGAAAATGTAATTCGTGATGCTGTAACCTATACTGAGCATGCTAAACGCAAAACCGTTACAGCAATGGACGTAGTTTATGCGTTGAAACGACAAGGCCGTACTCTCTACGGTTTCGGTGGTTGAACTTCGATGAGATGCTCTCTAATCATTCCTTCATCTATCATATATTTTGTGAGAACTCCTGCGTATTCTGTAATTTTTACTTATTGTCTTTGTAAGTCTAATTTTGACTAAATTTTTAATTGGATTTTAATGTTTGGAGCTGTCATTTCAGTTTAAATGTATCTTTTTAAAATAAACATCTTTTAGTAGTTTTATCTTGCTTTTCTTCTATTCATGCTTGTCTCTTGATTCTATTATGTATATAAATGTCTCTAGCATGTTATATATGCTCTAACTCTTAAATCTTCCTATTAATTCTAAAGTCTAATATTCTAGAAGTATCAAGTTAGCATGTTTTTCATACTTAAGGGATTTTTTATTAATATCTGAAATTTTTGCATAAATGATTTTTCAACTTTAAGTGTATTTAAATTCCTTTAATAGAAACTAAATACTGCTTTTTTGGCTAAATTAAGTTTAAGGCTCTGTATTTTCTCTATAAATGTGTAGTGTCAAATGTTTTAAAAAAGGATTAGGCAATGTAGATTTGTAGAAAAGTAGTTTTTTCATAGATTAGCTAGAAATGCCTATAATTTACTATTTATAAAACTTTTCGTGGTAATGTTTACTTTAGCAATGTTACAGAATTTTTTTTTCAACGTATGGAATTAAAGTGAGAGTATTAATAGGCCTGTACATGAGAACTTTCATTAGATATTATTGAATGTTTTAATTCTATGATAATCTTGAAGAGTATTGCGTTGCTGCGTGCACCTACATCGATGACTTAAAGAAACAAAATGTTTCTTTTTTGTACTTTCTCATTTCGTAAATTTCTGAAACAATTGACTTTACTTTTTTTCCTTTATAGAAATTAGGTTTATTGACTTGCATTAAAATATGCATGTGTATAAATTCATGTATTTTCACAAGAATAGTGAGTAAACCACGCAGGAGATTTAGTAAGCAGTGTTAATGTAAACAAATTCTCATGAAATGTAGCTTTGTATGTTTAATAGATAAATATATCATTGGAATAAATAAGTAAAATGTAAAATATATATACCTATGTATGGTTCTTTTTCACTAAATAAACAGGTTCTAAATTAAAACTTACATAATTTGAGGAATAATGAAAAGGTAGATTTAAACTGAAGTATGTTTTATCTTTATTTGCGAATTAACACTGTTGATGTGAAACTAAGGCAAACAAGTTTAAAGAGCACAAAAATATTTATAAAATTAATACAGACAGCTGTTTCGGATGCTCAAAGGGCAACCTTCAACAATGCAACAGAACTGCACTAATGAAGGTTGCCCTTTGAGCATCCGAAACAGCTGCCTGTATTTTATAAATATTTTTGTCCTCTTTAACGTTCTTTGCCTTAGTTTTGTATTTTAGCACAAAGGTTGCCCACTTGTGTACTTAATGTTGATAGGTCTGATTTTTATGGAAAGCATGAGAAATTCTATTAGAAAAACTTACCTTACTTGTTCATACAGCCTGTGGATAGCAATGTAAAGTGTGTACAGATGTAAAAGTTTAAATATTTTTAGGCTTAAGAACTTTTATTATTGGTTCTATTTTGTTTATTCGTACAACTCTTGCAACATTTTGTGGTACATTCGTTTCAACATTAAAAAATACATAGGAAACAAGGCATCACTTGTTTAGAAAGCAATTATTAAAATATTGGATTAGTATTGTGTAATTCATTACACTGAAAGAATAACTCAAATTTCCCAATGTTGATGTGACTTTAAGATAACTTTAACCTTACTAAACTTATTGAAGATTGAATTTATTAAGAAAAAAACTTGCTTCAAAGTAAAAATTAAAATTAGCAGTGAACAATTTTATTTATACTTACATACATGGAAAAGGTTTCCTTATGATTTTTTTTTTTTTTTAGTTACCAATTTAAAAATATGGATTTTTTTTTTTGTTGTATTTGCTGCAATTAAGATATCTATGTAAATCCTTATTTATGAAAGAGTTAAAATAGTTTTTATCTTAAGATTTTTCATGTCATTCTCCCAAGCAAACTTATTTCTCTATCTGAAAGTTATCCATTTTACTAAGGTCCTTAACCTTTTGAGTCCCAGAGGGTATTGAAAGAAACACTGCTGAAGAATTCAAAACATTATCGCTCTTTCTCTAGATGAGTTCAGAAAGATCAAAGCAGCGCAGTGGCGTTTGTTTTATTTTATGTCTAGAAATACCAAGAGTTGCAACAGCACTTTATTTTACGTTGATGAACCGCAATCGGATCGATGGTGCTTGTGTTTGTTAGATAACGAGTCTTTTTCTCGTTGCTCCGTCAAAACTATTGCAGTTTGCGAAGTGATCAGCAGTATTCTCCCGTTATATGTCTCGTTCATAACTGTGATTCAAAATGATTAGGTGAAGCAACACAAAGTAAGTAAAAATTAATCTATATTTAATGTTTAACTTTTTTTAAATTTGGTGTATCTCCCAAAACATACATTGTACTACATGTACATGACTGAGAATGACTGCAAAATACAACGCATTTATTTTATTACGTATTATTGCATTATTCTGCCGATTGTAAAATTTACTAGTCACATTAAAAAGAGCTGTGTTATGTACTTGCGTCAGTTAATCTGAGCGTGCGACTTCAACAATCAGTAACACACCGTCGGTTGTCCACAGTGTTCGAAATGTACTGGGTTTGCTCAATAGCGTAACCGGTCTGCTTGGGACTCAAACACTTAAAAGTAAACTTTTGCTCTAAAATAAAATAAAAATTTTGTTTGTTTTTAATTATTTTGCAAAAGCTTTGTATTTTGATAACTTTTAAAGGTGGTGAGAGGCTGGTCTAAACTGGAAGTGACCTTTCCTGTGAAATGCACACTATTTCACAGGATTCTTATTTCTTGGGAAAAATCTCCTACATATATGTTACTATTATTCTAAATAAGGTAGTCTAACATAAGATTTAACCGGTTAAATTGGCCGGGTACTCAGTAATGGATCTTAAGACTAAAAACCAGTCCCATGTACCGTATAATTTTGGGTATTCAGTTCATCTTAAAAATTTTCCTTTCAAAGGATTTGAGGATATTTTGCGTCAGCACCGTGGTCAGTGCAAGGCGGATGCGGAATACCCTGGCTTCTTTGTCATCAATCGTGCTCATTTTTCTCTTTTTACCAAATATTGCAGAGAGATACAGCACTCGCTTGTAGCTGCTACAAAATATTCTTGGTTATCTATGTGCTTCGGGAAAAACTTATATGCCTTGTCTCTATTGAATACAAATTATTAAGTTAATGTTAATGTTGGTTTCTTATTACTGAAATAAAACTGGCTTTTTGGCACTTAATGAAAACTGAGAACAGAAGCAGTTTGTCGGAATATGACTTGAAATACCACCTATCAAAACAGACAAAATGAGATGAATGCAGCTTGAGGAAAAAAGTAATGTGGTACAGGAATGTAAATACCATTTTTTAAAGTTTATAAAACCTTGAGTAATAGTATAAAATCAATCTGGATGAGCAATTTATCATAATTTATTCTTTTTAAAAGCTGTGTTTTGAAAACAGTTTTAATTTCTTTTACTCATAGGTTGGTAATCTAAAATAAATCTTAACGCCCTAATTCTGGAAGAAATAAGAGGCTTTGATGAAGTTTAATAACATCTAAACTTGTAAAAAACATGACAAAAACAAATGTTATGCTTGTTTTCTGTTTTTACTAAGTTCAATACAAACCAGACCTACAAAAAAAAATTTTAACATAGAATATCCGAGAACTTTTACTTTTTTTTTCATTGTTTCAAATCTTAGATACATTAAAATATATAAAAAATATTAATCACTTTTTTTAGTATTTTCAATGTTCTCTTCTATACAGGTACCAAAAATGATAATCTGCACCTGATTTCTGCATTACCACTGTATAATTTATCAATGGCTTCTTGTCAATAGTAAAAATCTTTTAAATTTTGGATATCAAAAACAAACAATATAAGCATTAAAAAATTCCAGATTCTGGGACAAAAAAATATTCTTAAGCCACTATGAACAAATATTTTTAATGAATAGAGATATATTAATAATTATAACACTTAAACCAAGACATTTATTTTCAAAATTGTCTTTATTATAATTTTTGTTGGAGGCCGAATAATTTAAACTGATCACTTTTTTTTTTGGTACAAGTTCTTTTACAACAAACTTTAAAGAAGCGAAAAAAGCTATAGTATTAACCAAATGCTTGATATGTGTGTTAAATACACAAAAAGAATTTTAAAAAAAACGAGATTGAACCATTTGAAAAGGATGGAAAAATGAAAAAGTCAATAAATTTTTCCTATTAAAAAAAAATCAAGAAATTATGCTATAAAAAAATTCGAAAAAAAAAACATGTTTGTATTTACAATATATTCGCAAAAAAATTTTGCATGGTGATGTATTAAACTAAAAAGATCATTAAAAAAAAACTTGCTTTACACCATAGCAATAACCAGCATTTTAGCTATAGGATATTTAACTTAAGAAACGTAACATTCTATTTCTTCATGATAATGCGTCAAAATAACCGAAACGTTGTATAAAAACTAAAGCTAAAAACCAATTAAACTAAAATGAATAAAATTCAATTTCTATAAAGTAGCTGTGAATAAGATTTTTAAGTGTTAAGTACACTTTTTTTTTTTTGTCATACACCTTTTGATTTCACATGTAACTTTCAAATTCTGTATCTAAATATTAAAAACAAATAATGTTATTTCAAATAATTATTATTTAATCCCTTCAATTCTATTTAATAACGAAATCTAATTGTTTACAAAATAATAGCCACCATATGGCAAAACAAATACAATCAAATGTCACCGCAATGGGCGGTACTCAGTTTGCTGCAGATAAATCAGCCATTGGAGGAGAAACTCAGTTTCTGATTGGCCGTCACTCATTCTCGGGTTTCTTTTATAAAAACCAAAATTGCGTAATATTTTTTATTGTTCTCAGCTTTGTTGTCGTCTGCAGAAATAAATTTAGTTAAGTTTTTGACATTCTTAAAGCTTAGTGAATATGTCTGGACGTGGCAAAGGTGGTAAAGTGAAGGGAAAGAGCAAGACTCGATCTAGTCGTGCTGGACTTCAATTTCCAGTGGGTCGTATTCACAGATTATTACGTAAGGGTAATTATGCTGAACGTGTAGGTGCGGGAGCTCCGGTTTATCTTGCTGCTGTCTTGGAATATCTCGCCGCCGAAGTGTTGGAGTTGGCCGGCAATGCTGCTCGTGACAACAAAAAGACTCGTATTATTCCCCGTCATCTTCAACTGGCCATTCGAAACGATGAAGAGTTAAATAAGCTCTTGTCCGGCGTGACCATCGCCCAAGGTGGTGTTCTGCCTAATATTCAGGCTGTTCTTTTACCTAAAAAGACAGAGAAGAAAGCCTAAAACTGTCTTCTAGCATCCCCGCATTTTTCGAAATTCTCATCTAATCATTCCAAAACCTCGCTGTGTTTTTAGTTTTGCGGACTTGTGGATTTTATTTTCTATTTTCGAACATTATTTGTGATTTGTATAAGTGTAAGCTAGCTGTAATAAATTCATTTCGTTTAATTTTTGCTTTAATTATTCATTTAATTTTATTCTATGGTTTGTCTCCTCTTTCAACAAGTTTTTAGGTGGTAAGTACTATTTTTCTAGCTGGTATACATGCAAAGTTAACTGGTGTATTTCGTATATTATTTGTAGCTTCTACTGTTATGCAATTTATCAGGCTGTTAAGTCTTCCTAACAAGTCGAGTGATAACTGGTAATATATATTTGACAGTATTGAGTGTGACAATCTTAAACCTTTTTAAGCATTTTTTAATTTTAAGAAATGCTTTTTTTCACGAAGTTTAATATTTTATTGTTTATGTATTAAACTTTTATCTACATAGTTTTTTGTTATTTTATGAGCTAAATTTTATATTTTTATCTTCCGGAGAAGTTTCAAAATAAATGCATTGTAAGCTTGTTTAGATAAGTCATAATTGAGTGAGTTGGTGAAAAAGTTTACTATTTGATAAAATTTGACTTAATATTATAGGTCTGGTGTGATGCTCTTTGAGTAATTGGCATTTTTTAAAATTAGTTTTGAAAAAAGAAACGCTTGAGTAATTAAACTGTATGATTGTCTTGTCTAGTTGCATCTTTGATAATTCCAGTGTATAGTGTGTTAAGATAAAAAGAAGTTAAAGCATTATTTTGTATACACAAACTTAATGTTTCAATTCAGTAGCAATATTGTGAGATTTACACCAATGAGAGTTCTCTTATCTTTCAGTTAACTTTCTAACCAGTTTCATGTAAAGTTACGTATTCAAGAAGCCATTTTTGTTTAAAAGAGACTAGAGTTAATATATATTTTAACCAAACCATTTCTTACTTATTTGAATCCATTGCTAATTTTTTGATGTTGTAATTCTTATTTGTAAAATTAGAAAGGTACAAAAAACCTGGAAATTTGTTTATGTTTGAGTTTATGGAAAAAGTACTGTGCCCTAGACTAGTGAGGTACAATTTTCAAAGAGATACTTTTAAAACATTTAATTTTATAATAAAGTATCTTGTAGAGATATTTACGAAAAGGAAATTTTATTGCAACAGACAATTGATTGAAAACTGGTAGTACTTTGGTAAAAATACATGAAATTAATGCATATCTATAAGTTGAAGACAATAAAAATTAGACATAGAATAATTTGTAATGGGACATTAGATATGATATGTATATATAAAATTTGTGTTGTCTCTTTTAATCACTTACATTTAATTGCAGATTGACAAATATGTCATTATAGAATAACCATGGGTGCAAGTCTTCCGTCCCCAGGACGGATTTCCGTCTTTTGAAAATGTCCGTGGACGGAAACAAGACTGACTCGAAGACGGAAATCGGAATTTTTTTTTTTTTATATGTCCATAAAAATATTTTTTTAGGTCTACGTTATTGGTCTACTTTCTTATGTCCTGTTGTTATTTTATCAAAAGACAGATGAATAAATATTTTTTGTGCAGTATTTAAACTTGATGTATTATGGTAAAGCTTTCTTAGATAGTTTGCATATGTCGAGGGGGTATCGTGTATGTTAGGTATTTCAGTCAAAAAATTTTCAGTCTTGGCCTTTTATCAAACTTGCACCCATGAGAATAACTTAATATGCTTACAAATCCCATAATGAAAGAAAAGTAATCTAAATTTACCTTTTAACAGTTTTTTAGAAAAGCTATGTTAAAATAATTGCCTTTTATTTTCTGTACTGAAAGATTTAAGAACATGTTTATTAAAATAAAATTGTGTTTTGACGATACAACTCTAAATATGTTAAAAGCATACTCTTTATTAATGCTGCACTTAATCTAATTTAACTGTATTTGAAGATTAAAGCCATCTCCTAATTAAAGATAAAATAGTGCTTGCAAAAATTTCCCATCGACCATGTTTGCCGACATCATGCATAAGTCGTATCTTCCAAGTTTATTTTCTGTGCTACCGTAAAGTGCTTGACTTCGCATGCAGGTAGTTGGGCTACTGAAGCTGCGGTGCCATCCCCTCTGCATAGGATCAAAATTGTGATGGCATGTCTTCGGATCATCCTCCGGTATGTTTCTCAGACCGTCGCCAATAGCCCATTGTGCAGCTCTAGTGCGACGTAAATTAACAACAGCAACAAGTTTATTTTTATATAGTAATTATTCATTATGAAATAAGCAATTATTTACATGAAAAATAATGAGTAAATATTTTAATTTGTTAAATATATAAAGTTTATTTTCAGATTTGGCGAAAATAGTAGATGGAATAATACATTAGTGTACCTTTAATGTAATATGCAAATTGCAACTTTGTCCATAAAACTTTTATTTTAAGGATAGTGGTTGAACAGATGAGAAACTTTAATTGTTGGTTACAGAAATCTGTCAACCAAGGGAATTTGCAAATGATCACAACTTAATATTTTTGATTGAAATTTGCATAATTATCAAAAATTAGTTATTACCATAAATGGTTGAAAAACAGGTATAAAAAAAGTAAGTAAATTATCATTTATAAGGAATATAGCCAAGAGTTGTTTTCACTTTGTGGAGCCTTTTATTTTCAGAGATGGTGAAGTTCTGATGAATATTAGGATATGTCTTGGTACATTTCTTCATTCTACCAAAACCTATTTTAAAAAAAAAAGTTGTTGCAACACCAGATCAATTTTAAATATCTTCATTCTAAAATTTTCTACCAAAAAAAAGCAATTACTGCATTTGTAAATAAATGTTAAGACATAAACATTACATCATTTAAAAAAAAATTAACAAAAATAGCCATTAGTCAATAAATTTACAAAAAATTTAACAATGATTTAATAAAGAAGAAAAATTATGCGGATAATTATCAAAACCAGTCTAGAAATTGAAATACAGTTGTACAAGAAAATTAAAGCTCATGTTGTTGAGATAGATGTTTCATTTATTACTTATTTTCAATTCCTATACTTATCCAGGAAAAGGAAAACTTTTTTTAAGTCTTAAATATTAAAACAATTATTTTTATTTTATAACTGCAACCACGTTTAAATAATGAGTTATATAATGCAGTATTCTTTTTTTTAAAAAATTGTAGGAAAATAATTATGAATTTCTTTAATTAAAATAAATGTAGATTCTATGCTTTACACAAAGTAGGTAAGTAAAACCCAATTCTATAATTATTTGAAGAATTGTTAGTATATCAAAACCTAAATACAGCTAAATTGATTCATATATTAAAACCCGGCCAAGCAGTTAACTACGGAGCCAATGGCTGAGGGTTCGAATCCCGCTGAGGGCATTGATTTACGTTTTAAGCTGTGGTGTAACTAACAACCCCGGTAGCTCTTGGATGTAATAATTAAAAAAAACTTATAATTTTTTTTGGAAGTTATGAATTGCGTTTTTAAATTGTGCGTTTTGTTTCATTTTAGATTACGATTCTTCCATACGATTTCTTTCATTAAAATATTTACGATTATTTTTATTCGATGGCTATCACATCGAAATTTCCGTAGTTTTAAAAATCCCAAAGTAGGACAATATTTATGACTCGTAAATTTCGAATATTAGTAATCACTCTTGTAGCTTTTCATTTCTGTCTATTTCTTAGTTAATCCAAGTGTCTTATAGATCGTGCTTTGGAAGCCTATGTTGTCTAATTTCCCCGTATTTCTTAAAATCCCGATCTTTTTAATGCAATTTAACGACTGGCAAATAGTAATCACTTTTGACGTTCAAGAAGTCATTTTTATCGTAAACCCAAGCTGTTTTTAAGGCGATACGCATTTCTACATGGTTTTGAAAATTCTGTTATTTTTTATATGTAGATAATACGTCACTCGAATGAGGATCCTTTATTTCGCTGAATTCTTCACAAATCTAAGAGGGTTTTGTTTTGTTTTTTTGTATCGTTCATTCAACAGTTATTGCTAGTCCTTTCAACTGCGTTTTGAAAATTCTGATATTGTTCAGTTGCTGCTACTATTTATTAAGACGAGTTTTTTTTTTTTTGATAATTTTAATTCTATATTATTACAAAACGAGAAATTCGAATGTGGTTTTCTATACTGTTTCTAAGCTAAGTTTCTAATTTTTGTAGCTTAAAAAAATGCTAAAAAGCGATTTTTAGGACATAACGCTCATAAAATCTTTTATAATTCACTAGGTATATATAAATGTCTTAAGGTTAAAAATATAATGAACTGAATCCCAACTGAATGTTGCATCTTATTTTGAGCTATAGTGCATTTTGTTTTATTTTAAATCATTTTGAACCCCATACAATCTTTTTGAGTAAAATTTTTAATTGGCATTTATGTTGCTCAAAGAAATATTTATCTATTTTTTTATTTTTACTTTCATTCAAAAACGCATTACAGTTCATTTATTTTAAAACACTATTCCGTAACGTGATGTGATAAAAAAAACATCACTTTTCCCCATCTTTTTTTTTTTGATTAATTGCGTCGTTATTGTGTCCATAAGCCATTCACACATATGTATATATGCATGACAGCTCTTTGTGGGCCAGAGCCTTCATACATTCTGCTCTTTTCTTTGCGATTGTTCTCCAGTTAGTAATTCTTAGGATTTTATAAAATCCTCTTCCACACATTCAAATCATCTGATCTTGGACGTACCTCTGACTCTAGTTCCCATTGGTTTGCAATTGAAAATCTGAAATCTGAAAGTCTGCGTAGGAACCGAGGGTGTGCGGTATTGGTCCTCGTTAAGCTGTTCTACCGTAAAGTGCTCGACTTCGCGTGCAAGTCGTTGGCTACCTAAGCGGGGGTGCCATCCCCTCTGCAGAGGATCAAAATTGTGATGGCATGTCTTCGGATCATCCTCAGGGATGTTTCCCACACCGTCGCCAATAGCTCATTGTGAAGCTCTAGTGCGACGTAAATGAACTACAACAACTTAAATGTGAAAGAAGAATGGTCCATTCGACAGACGTGACCCGCAAGTTTTGAGCGACTTATTTTGATGTATTTGTTGATATCAGCTTCCTTGAATAACTTATATAGCTAAAAATTATGTCTTTATTG